TCTCTATGTGAGTCTATGGGTCTGTGTGTGAGTCTATGGGCCTCTGTGTGAGTCTATGGACCTCTGTGTGAGTCTCTGGGCCTCTGTGCGAGTCGATGGGCCTCTGAGTCTATGGGTTTCTGTGCGAGTCTGTGGGTCTCTATGTAAGTTTATGGGTCTATGTGCGAGTCTCTGCGGGTCTATGGGTTTCTATGTGAGTCTATGAGTCTCTGTGTGAGCAGGTGGGTGACTGTGCGAGTTCATGGGTCACTTATCTCCATAGCCCTTCTCATTGCATCTTCTTCATCTCTTCTCAACACAAGCACACACCACTCTAAGTCGCACTTCCCTGACCTTCCCAAGACTATTAGTAACTCCTCTATGCCCCTAGCGAGAGAATAGCAACTTCAAATCTAACGCACGCAAGCAGATTTAGCGACACACGGAGGTGTGCAGCACCACGTGTACAGAGCGCCCTCAGCCTTATCCAGACCACCAGCTCTAAGGCTGGGAACGTCCCGTGTCGGGAAGCGTGAATCCATCCTGGGAATTGCTGTGGCACGTTCGATCCTCGCTCGGAGCCAAAGAGCTCTCGCTTAGCACCGCGAGGCCGCATGGGCGAGTGCGATTTGCGAGCACCTACTGAGACAGTCAATGGAATAGGTCCGAGGAGCGGTGCGGCCGGAAACAAACCCAGCCGTCTTTGTCTCCCCGTTGCTGATGTTCGTGAGACCAACACCAATGGGCGCCATGCTGGCGAGATGTTAACTACCTCGCCTGGTATACAGGAGGTTGTGGGTTCGATCTCGACCCTGACACCTGCTGTATATTTGGAGTTTGCGTGTCTCTCTCTCGCCCCGTGGTTGTTTGGCTTTTTCTCCGGGTCCTCCGGTTTTTCCTTCCACACTTCGAATCAACATCACGCGTTTAGAGTATTTGGCTGTTGCTATAAATGTCCACGTGATGATAAGCCACCACTTCGTTGAGCTATCATTTGTGGAAGCCAGGTCGCTTCTGACAAAAAAGCTGCATAGCAGCTCAGTGGGCACCTTACTTGGTCAAATAAAACAAAAAGTTGTTCGTTTTAATAGTTTTCTCGAGTCAACCTCTGAAGATCCAGAGCAACTTTGTTGTGAACCCATCAGCGTGGCCTGCTCTTCCCTTTTGCGGGCCAAAGACATCCTTGGAGATGGTGGCAGTCGTCAACTGCGGTGGCGATCGGTGACACCGATGCAGGGTAGACGGGCGGCGGGTTGTGGAGGAGGTTCAGAAACCTGCGCCGTTTTGTTTTAGCTGCCTGGCCGGGAGATTGAACCGAACTGGTGACTTCTGTGCGCGGCACCTGTCACACCACCGTGGCGGCGCCCCGAAAGCTTTCAAAGTACCGCTCGATGTGGGTTTAGAAGCCGTGCAGCTTACACCGTTTTCGAATGTCGAGTTTTTATTCAGATTTGTCATCTCGCCGTATATCTCGCCGTGCGGCATCGTGACACCGATCGGCATTCTGCTGCCACCGCTGTCCCGAATGCAGGGCCGAGGAGCACTTGCGTTTTAATGAGCGGTTGAACAATCGGCAGACTTAAGAGATCGCATTGCCAGAGTGTCCTGGAAGCTCCCAGACATCTGCGGCTAAGTGCTCTCAGCCAAAGGCAGCAATGAACCCATGTTCAGACAGGCAGTCAGCAATTTCTATTTGTGTCTTATTGATCTTGGAGGGGCGATGATTATAATAATTATTATTATTTTATACGCTTGCTTACCCAAAATACAGGAGGGTTCTGCCAAGTTTTCGCAGTAGAGGCGATGTTGCCGCTGTGTATGATTTCAGTTGAGTGATTTGCAGGTGACTTTGTCGGCATTGGGAGATTTTGTCCAACACCAGTTACGTTGTTTGTTTTTTTAAACTATACTGGACAACCCTTGAGGAAACCAATACAGAACAGGGGAAAAGAACATACAAACTCCACTCACGCATGACTTAAATATTTCATGACTGCAGGAATTCATATTCTTGGGTCTTTCGGTAAAGTCACGTAGATAGGTTCAAAGAACATAACAAAAAACTACGACGTTTCGCTTGTCGGGGCTTCACGTTGCGAGCCGAACACAGAAGGCGTTCCGCTTCTCTTGATCGTTTCCAGCTGCCTCGGTAGCACCGTGCTGGGGCCACCGACGTGTTGACACAAGAGGAGAGGCGTTTTGGGGTTTTCCCTGCCCCTTGCAGGCCAGCGCCACGTGGTGAAGCTTAAAGGCTGTCACGTGGTTTATGTGTTACCGAAGAGAGCCGACGGAGGAACGGCGGCCCCCCCCCGCGTCCCCCCCCCCCTTCTCTCCGCTGTCCCGACGACAGTGGGGGGACCGCTCTCGACGACAACGTCCCAACGACGACGATGAGAACGTGGAGGAGGCACAGGAAGGTGTGGGTGGGGCGGGGTAGTTCGGTAGTTCCTCCTTAGAATGAGATGACCAGGGAACTGCACCGCCACCAATGAGGCGCAGACCATCAAGTGGATGTCACCGATGACTGCCCGGCTACAGTGCGCGTGCTCGCGTGGAGCGAGTGCAAGGGCTCCAGCAAAACACTGAACGGACAAACTTGCGCCTGTTGCTTTATCCTAACGCCAAGCGGAGGAAGCAGAAGAGTAAAGAAGCCCTTGTTAAGACGTGAATGCTCTCCCTGAAAGCCCCAGCCTAGCCGTAAAAATGTGCATGGCGAAGATAAATAATGTCAGTAAATAATATTAATAAATACTATTGATAAATAATATTAGTAAATAATAGTGGTAAATAATATTAGTGAATAATATTAATAAATACTATTCATAAATAATATTTGTAAATAATATTAGTAAATCATATTGACAAATAATATAAATAAATACTATTGCTAAATAATATTAGTAAATAATATTAATGAATACTATTGATACATAATATTAGTAAATAATATTAAAAAATACTATTAATAATATTCTTTGGGTCTTTCGGTAAAGCAGCAGCCAGGCGACGAGCCGGCGTCGCCGACAATTTGCCGAAACTTTGCGGTCCTCTACATAGCGAGGTGTCATCGGCCACTCGATGAGAGTTTACGCGCGCGGAAGAAAGCCATCCGTGCATGGGGGGGGGGCAGCACTCCGTTTCACGCCGGTGAAACGGGTGGCAACCAAATTCTGTGGCGCCGTGTTCTCCTAGTGATCCGGGGCAATGGCTGCTCCTCGACGCCAATGGGAAGGCAGTTTCACAGCCCATCTGTGTGAGATCCACCGACCCCCAAACCCCTAAAGTGCTGGCTTGCAGGCGTGGGTCACCGCCGCCCGGCTGGTGGTATCAGCAATAATGCATACACGTGTTCAGCTCTCTCGAGCTGGTGGTTTAGCCGAGGCAATGTGGTAGTCACAAGGCATGCACACACGTGTAGTCACTTTAAGATGTTCCTTGTTCATGTTTTTGTTTTGTTGCGGTTGCACCCGAGTCAAGAGCCGCATGGCTCACAGGGTTATACCATATAAATGAAACTGAAAACTGAAAGATGGGAGTTTGTGTCTTCCCTCTGTTTGTAAGCAGCGCATTGTCGTTGTTCCCACACCTGGCTCCGCTAATGAGGCTGAATGTTCGAAACCAGTCCAGAGTTTTCTCGTATTAACCCAGCGCTGCTAAGCTAATGTTAGCTTAAGTATATCCACAAAGCTAAGTCTGTCCGAAAAGTTGACACGGGACACATCAAGTGAAACTTTGAGTCATCCGATCTGTTTGTGGGGCATGTGCGGTCACCTGTCGGCAGTTAAGCATCCACGATGAGTGTGACTCAGCGTGGGATGTTGTGTCTGAGACGATTACTTTTGTTATCGCCGCAACCGAATGGAAGCTATTCCACAAAAACACACACGAAAAAAGGTCAGGTTCAAACAAGGAGACGTTGAGTGTCGAAACCGTCACAGAAGGTCTACGTGCATTTGGGCGTTTCCCCCCTGCACGCGAGCTGTCGATGCGGCCGAACGTCGCATAGAGCGTGACTCAACGGTGATGGGAGGCATAAAATGGAATTTGTGAACATCCCGTAGTAAAAATTACAGCTGCCCACACTGCGCTAAGTGTGGGCGGTTGATCGGTCGGGGCGGGAATGTGACGCTCGGATACGTTACGCTCGGGTACGCAAATGCTCAGGTACGTGACACTCGGTTAAGCGACGTTTTATCGCGTACATTTTTTGTTTGGACTGCATATGACTTTCAGATGTCACTGCATAGATGGTTTACAGCAAATATACTGTTAAAAATATATATTTTACCAGGTAAGGCCCATTCAGCTGCTATATAGCTATTTTCAGAAGGGACCTGGCTATCACAAATAATAGCACCAATGAAGTGGCTTATCATGTAGCCATTTATAGCAGCCAAAAACTCTAAACGCTCGTTGATAGTAAATGTGCAGGGAAAAACTGGAGGAGGACCCGGAGAAAAATCCACAGGACCACGGGGAGAACACGCAGATTCCAAATATACAGGCGTCAGGGTCGGGATGGAATCCACGACCTCCTGTATACCAGGCGAGGTAGTTAACATCTCGCCACCGTGGCGAGAGATGCGTGATACAGATCCAGAGATACGGTGTGAGATAAGAAAAGAGGGTTGCAGACAAGATCAGGGAGCATTGGACCGTGCATTTTGTAATTGGCCCATCACTATTCTCTGTGGTTTCACTGGTGGTGTGGGGAGGTTTTTAACTTTAAAACATTTCACAGCGTAATGCTTTTTTTCTTACTTCACGTGGCATATGACCTACCCTGTTGATCTGTTTGTATTGGCGGATATCATCCCACTGCCGCTGCCCTTGTTCTGCCAATTGGCCCGTCGCCACCGACGGACGACGGACACCATGGTGGCGAGATGCTGGAAAGCTGGGAGGGTTGGGGGACAGGTGACGTGACCCCGTTGGTGGATGTCCCCACCCACCTACCCCCATTAACGATGACGCTCTGCGGTTTGTGTGCTTTTTTTCTTTTTTATGGTGTTTGCTGGCAGGGCGAGGTTTCAGTCTGCAGGACCGCACGCAAGAGTGAGTAGAGCACGTGGCGCCGAACACGCGCCGCACGCCGCTTGCAACGCTGCGAGAGGGCCGGTGCGGAAGCCGCCCCCACCCCGTCCCCTCTCGGGCGGTTGCAGCGGTTTAGAGTCACACGACTCGCGATCGGAAAGGTCGCATGACTCCCAATTCCTCGTTGGGATGGTGGGGGGGGGGGATCAACCCTGCCTCAATTGCCATCAACATTGATCCAGGCTTCATACATTGAGCACGGCATTGCGGGAAAGTCGGAGAGTGGTTGTCCTGTGGAGAGGTTGGCCCACCTATCACGGGAATGTGGAGTTTGTAAACATCCAGCTGAGGACCGCCAATGGACGATGGGGGTCGTCGTACCTCCGGCAACTTTCGATCGCTGAGATACTTCGGTTTGACGCTAAAACAAAATAAAATGCAGTAGGTGTAGCCGTGCATTTGCTTTGCTCAACCGCACTGCTTGAGAAAAGGGCCCGCACCTGAAGTTAGCTCCCGAGAGCCTCTCCAGAGGGTACATTTTGGACCGAACTCTTCCACGCCGACGAAGACGTCTTGGGAAGAGGCGGGAACGCCGAGCACTTTACAGCCCCACCGCGTGTGATCTTCTAAAGTCGGCTGTGGTGAACCCCATTTTTGTGGTGGGGGGGCAGGAGGGTCAGTTCGAGAATCCCGCTACCGTCGCTTCGACCGCCACGCCGGGAGATAGAATCGAAAACCGGCGACCCAAGCGCGCTGACCGCTACACACGAGCTAGACTGCACACACGCAGAGAAGCATCACCTTCATATTGTGTGTACATTCTGCTCTGCTGTGTGGCAGTGGAAAACCGATCTAGGGTCACCTTGGGCGAGTGAACTCGGCTGCCCCCCCCCCAGCCTCATTATCCTAAGTTCAACACCAGTGCCAACAGGGATTGATCCTTAAGTCAACCTCATTCACAGCAGTTTCCAGCAGGGATTAAGAGGCTTCGGCAGAAAGTAAAACCCATGGCATGTGACTTATAAACACACGCACAGAGAACCGTAGACAAATATCCCCCTGTGTAGCCTACGCAGACTGTTGGGGCAAGTGCTGTTAAAGGCTGCATGGCGCACTAGGACTAGGTGTGGCCTGAATCGTGCTTGGCCGCCTTTTTGTCCCCCCCCCGCCATGCCAATATTTACACACTGCACCAGGTACTCGTTTAAGTCCGAGTCGACCTAGAGGCTGGCCTGGGACAGCTTCAGACACCGCATGCCCGTCATATGGTGTTGGGACTCGTGACCGAGAATCAAACCTAGGTTGCTAGGATAGTTGTACAGCTCTCCAAAAACAAATTTATAAAAGCCTCAGGTCCTCTGTGCAACCTCCGTAGACTGTTGGGGTGTATGGAGAGTGGGCAAGTGCTGTGAGCTAGCAACCTGTGAATGAACGTGCGGCGAACTCGCACGAGGTGTGGCCAGAGCCGCGGCCCCGGGCGGGGGGAGGGGGCGGGGATATCTATCCATCACGGTTTCAGCTACTCGCCGCTATAGGTTGGCCGCGGGCAGGAGAATCTCGAGTTATGTCGCCACGAAAGACAAAGACTTGCAGCAAGTGCTGCTAGCGAGCAGCACCTATGAAGGCCCTCATGGCACACGAGGGGGTGGGTTCCCAGCACCACGCCCGACCGCCTTTGTCTCGCCAGTGGCGATGTTTACACGGCGCACCAGGTACTCATTTGAGGCTGAGTCGACCTAGGGGAGGTTCAGGACCGGTTCAGGTAATCATCACTGTTGTTGGCCGTGAGTGGGAATGGAACTTGGGTCGTCGGATTTGAAGCGTGCCGCACTAACCACTACACTACCGCTCCCCATAACACACACGTACACACACGTACACATGCGCACGCGACTGTAGCGTTGCGTGCGAGTGGCCACCTGAGTTGTGTGAGCTGCATGGTACGTTCTCTGTGCGCCGTCTGTGTAAACCCCCACGCCCCTTTTGTCGCCCAGGTTTGACAAGAGGATCGGCGTGCCCATGTGCTTGCCCAGTCACGTGCAGGAGAATTTCAAGGCCTCATATCCTGGGTAATGATCATCATCATCATTTACATAAAGTTTTCGCGCAGTCTGGTATTGTGCCGTTTGTTAGAGCGCAAAAGCGCGGTGCCATTTCATATTTATGCCAATTTAACACCGGTATTTGTGCCATTCAACACCGGTATTTGTGCCATTCCTCACCGGTATTTGTGCCATATTTGTGCCATTTCAACACCAGTTTTCGTGGCATGTGTGCCATTTCACCGGTATTTGTGCCACATTTGTGCAATTTCAACACCGGTATTTGTGCCACCGGTATTTGTGTAATTTGTTAGAGCGCAAGATGCGCTGTCGCGAAGGAAGGCACCGCTGCATCACCACCGGCACGGTTTGCAGGAGCTTCACACAGTCATATGGGGGAGCGATGCTGCTATCCGCAGCCCTAATTGAGTTAACTTCTTGCAAGTGCTTGTGTTTTTTTATTTGGCAAATTTGGACCGTGACAGCCGGCACACGACGGCCTACTCCACGTTTTCCCGAACGGCGTAACAGGAACCTTTAAGATGGCCAAGTAATCCTGTCGATGGACGTTTAAGCCGTCATTGGTGGCCACACAGACATACACTCTCCCCACAGTGGGAACAGAATGGACGAGATTGACAGATACACTTTTCACTGCATGTGTCCTTGTCGCATTTGTGGATTTACTTAAGCTGCGTCGCTCAGATGGCGTCGCGCTCGAGTGAAACGCGCGCGTGTGTGCGTTCACCTGCGTGCGTTCATCCCTATGTGTGTGCGTGTTCATCTGTGCTCGCTGCTACACTGCACTCAATGACCCCGCACTCAGTGACAGCCACCGCATCGCTGCTCGCTGCCTTAAACCCACAAACGTCAACAGTTTGAACAGCGGGGAGCACAACCGGTGCATCTGCCAGTCGTCTCAGTCAGTCAACCCATCGCACTTGAGTCTGTCCCGTGGGCTTCTGTCAGCGTGCCTTCTGACACTTCGCGCGGCTTCAAAGTGGCACAAGCGCCGTGGTGACGTCACCCGCCACTCAGTGGCGGGCGGCGATTTATTGTTGTGCGTGCTCATGTGTATGTGTGCTCGCGTGTGTGTTCGTGCATGCTTGTTCATCCCTATACGTGTTCGTCCCAATGTGTGTTCACCCTGCGTGTGTTCTTCTGTACGTGTTCGCATATATGGGTGTGTTCAACAACACGAATGCGTGTGCGTTTGTTCAAGTTTATCACACCACCCCATCACACACGTGGAATTCCAGCCTTAAGTAGGTGCTCGCTAACAGCACTTCCCTCAAAATGAAAAATAAGAACAGGTTTTACCCTTTCTGGCAATAAAAAAGGATGTGTTAAGATGTTCAAACACCAAATAGAAACCTTTTGCGAGGCAGAAAGTCTGCATTAACCACACAGTGCTTGTGGTGAGCGTGTTTGAAGGCTAAAGAAGGGATATTGACGAGTGTGGCACAGCTCAGGGATGGGACGCGTCTGAGAGGACAAGGAGATGGAGTGGTGAAATCGGCTCACGTGCAGGTGGATTTTTACACCGCCGGATAGTGAGAGATGGCAACTGCTCACGGAGGCCTTCATCAGCGGCAAAGCTTACGATGCAGTTACGAAAAAGTTTGCATTGCCGACAAATAAATGCGTCCAACGTTTGACCACCGGTCTCCCCTTATCTGGAACACACAACCGCCTTCCGGTGCCACGCGCACTCACCCCGTTGCGTCACCAGCGTCGTTGGCAAGAGCACGGCGCGGCGTTTATCAAATGTGGTTCCAGTTAATGAGGGCCTCCGATAAGCGCGGCCCCTTTATGCGTGTGCCACCGATCGCTGGAGGGCTCCAGACCGTGGCTCAGCTCTGCCTGAAGCCACGTCTCACCTCGAACGCACCACCACCCACTCATGCTAAGCGTCTCGCAGCGTGGCAGGCAGACAATTTCCTTTCTCAATCCGTACCGACTCCGGGCAGCTGACTGACCAGAGAGGCGGGCTGACCAAGACAGACAAGCCAGCTCGTTCAAGGGAGCCCGTGTTTCATCCTCCTCCCCCCGGGCTTTACGACCGGGATATTTTCCAAGATGTTGTTTGCTTTCTCTCGCTCGCTCGCAATGCACTCCGATATAAATGTTCACGACAGAGACGTTTATCGCGACATCGGAGGCCCGGGCGCAGAGCCGGCGCCGTCGCTTCAGCCTTCTCGAGCGGCGTCGTCCGCGTGGCCGTTGCGACTTTTGCAGGGTTGACTTGAGTCAGGCCGGCGACCCGTTCCTGGGAGAAAAGGACATGGAGAGGTTTCGATACCAAAATCAGGACATTCGGCGCCACAGGAAGGCCTGGATCTACACAATGGAGCAGCTGCCCTACAAGATAAGAACCGTCTGTGAGTTTGTATTTATTCAGGGAAACCTGCCGCAGTCCCAGGGCCACGATTTCAATTGAGGGCAGTTTATTAATTATCGCCGGGAAGCGCCACGGGTGGCGCAAGTTGTCAGAGTGCTTGGCGGTAACGATCGGAAGGTCGCCAGTTCAAATCTTGGTCATGGGCTGAAACGGCCAAATCGGCAACAGTGTCATCATCATATGCATCATGATGTGTCCGTCATCTCGTCATTCGTTACGAGTTTGTGTACGGTATCGTTTGTTGCGTTGAACAGGGCACCGTAGTCTCTGTGGAGTGCTCTTGACAATAACATCTGGTAATTTATCTGCATATTTAAAACAAGCCTGGCCCAGACCCACGATGCTGAAACGGTTCTTGCGAAGTATCCTAGCTTCAAGCGAATTCGGCTCGACAACAATATTCGTTCGGAAGGCTAATAAACTCGGCCAATTTGGTTCAACAATATTTTTCTTTCTACGTGGAGACAGAATTGAGTTAGGTAATCACCGAGTCACTGCAGCCTTCCCCTCTTGTGCTGAATTATCACCGATCGGCATTCCAGGCATTCCTCTCGCTGCGCCGCACACAGCGGAGTCTTAACGTCCCGAGTGATTGATCGTTCTTGACGGCGTGACTCTCATGCGGCGCGAAGTGAGGTGGACACGTGGGGATATGGACGTATTCCATGCTCCTTGTCCAATTATCGCTCACTTGTCGTAACTGCCCTGGTTAATGTTCAGCGTGAACTTTACTCACCCACCCACCGACACACTCACTCACCCACCCAACTCACCCACTCACCAAATCACTCTTCTGTCACTACCACAATGGGCACCATTCCCATGACCTTCGGTCCACACTGTGTTCAACCTCCACCGAACTGCAGGTTACAACAACTCACTCACTCACCCATGCACACAATCACTCACCCACCCACTCACTCACCCATTCACACAGTCCAATCAGGTCGTTAAAGTAGCAAGTGCGATTTTTGGTGAAGTTAAACTTATCGCTGAAACGCGATGATTCAATATGCATTTTGCGGTTCGGTCGCAATCACGACTTCACCAGCGGTTGTGTCGCGGAAACCCTGCCAGCCGCCGGACGCAACCAAACTAAAACATAATCATCGCACGTGCTGCGCAGGCGTTTAACAACGTGACCAAAACAAAGATTCGTCGTTGCCTCGGCGAATTCCCACAGCCCAAATTTCGCACGGACCACGAATGTCAGCGCGACGCACAAGTAATGCGTGGGGTGCGTTAAACCATCGCAATGCCGCGCTCCGCCTGCTTCACGGTTGACGTTAAAGTATGCCGTGACGTCGTTCGAAAAAAACAAGTAGGCTTATTGTGCGCCAGCGTTTATGGTCCAAATCTGTTTAAAATGAAGGGGGGCTGGTTTACACAACACAGCAGCGTCACCCCCTCACCGCGACGCAGCTGCGGACTGCGCCTGCGAGAAACACGGCCGCACCTTCCCGCACGATGGCCACCCTGCCTTGTGAGCGAGGCCCAAATGCCAAAGCGTACGAAGTATTTCAGTGGCTTGGGGGGGGGGGGCGTATGTAGGCAACTGTGGTTTAAGCGTCACCGCCCCCCGCTCCCTCCGCTCCCCGCCCATAACAAACGAGGTTGTTATTATTTCCCCCCAAGGCCGGGGTTTTGTTGAAGTGGAAAGTAAAAGTGCGCCTAATTAAATGCCTCAACATAAACAAAACTTCCCCCCGTCCCTCCAATTTTAAATAAAGTCACAGAGCCCAGCCGGCTCCGTTCCTGAAACCTGAATATATTTGGAATATTCTGGGGGGTTTAACAGAGGGTTCACGATGACCATATCGGGGCCCCACTGAGCTCATGCTTATGATAATTGTATTTTTTTCTGGGTTCAAGACCTGAGTCGGCACGACTGAAATGCTGGGCCTCAAGCCCTGGGTCTGGGCGTGTCTCTCTCTGTCTGTCCCAAGTGGTTAATAATGGCAATGTGGGGGCCCAACTTATTTAATATGAATCCAGATGTGTTTTGAGTTGTATCACTTTAATACCTAACAGCTGTATAATCACTTTGTCAATGCCTTGTGATTTCAGCTGACAGCATGAACATGAGATCCCTTTTGCAACTCCTGAAACATCCACTTTCCGTGGACAAATTAACAAGGTGAGCAAAAAACACCGTGCGTGAGAAGTCAAGTTACGGACAACGACTAACCCCTGCCACAGGAATGTGGAATATCCACCTGGCCCGTGTCCACGCGCTGGCAGCGAGCACCGTGCCGACGCTCGTCTCCGGGTCAAGCCGCGTGCCGGGAAGTTTCGCGACAGCTTTTTCGGGGAAACCCGAATCGAACGCCAAAATGTTCACGTTAAAGTTGAATGGCCGCTCGTGGCCATGGAGCGGAAAACGTTGGACGTCGTGCCGAGCGATGCGTGGCACGGAACCGCAGCGCGCCGGTGAGCTGCGACAGCAGCACGACTGCGAAAGCGAACGAGGGTGGCGCTAGGTGTGGCTTCCGCCGTGTTCGTGTTGCGTGCTCTGCTGTGGTTGTAATGATCGTAACAATTTGTCGCCTTAATCGGGACTCTTTTCGGGAGGGTTCTGGCACGTTGGGTTTTTTATTTTAGGATGTTTTTTTTTCGGGTGGTGTGGGTGCACTGTTTGTGACGTGCGTGGTGTGGGTGGTGTGGGTTGTGTGGGTGGCATGGGTGGTGTGTGTGGTGTGGGTGGCGTAGGTGGTGTGGGTGGCGTGGGTTGTGTGGGTGGCATGGGTGGTGTGGGTGGTGTGGGTGGCGTGGGTGGTGTGGGTGGCGTGGGTTGTGTGGGTGGCATGGGTGGGGTGGGTGGCGTGGGTTGTGTGGGTGGCATTGGTGGTGTGTGTGGTGTGGGTGGCGTGGGTGGTGTGGGTGGCGTGGGTTGTGTGGGTGGCATGGGTGGTGTGGGTGGCATGGGTGCACTGTTTGTGACGTGCGTGCCGTGCGCTCCCCAGTGCGCAGTGCCGGCGCTGCGTCGTGGTGGGCAATGGGAACTTGCTCAAAGACAGCGGGCTGGGCAGCTGCATCGACTCCTACGACATCATCATACGGTGAGACGACGATGATGATTATTATAATAATAGCGATACTGATTGTTATAATCACGACGATCACAATTAATGGAATTTTCGCAAGGTGATCACCAGGGCGCGACGTGTCAGGTGTAGTCTGCCGGTGGGCGGGGGGAGGCGACGCCCCTGTGTGGTACCCGATCGATGAGACGCTCAACGTCGAAACCGGCTTTGCTCCTGCCAGCGTGCGTTCTGTTGCATTAAACGCTGCTGGAAGTATGCAGAAGGACGCGCGGCTGACGGGATAGGTTTCACATAGTTATTTATTACGTGGAGGGGCAGATTTGGGAAGAGGATGTGTGTATTGTCTGCTGCTGCTATTTTTTTTACCCAATTCGGTAATTATATAACTTTGTTATTTGGCTAATTTTGACAGGGTGCCACCGGCACACATTGAACGACCCCGTTTGTTTGGCTCACGTCAAGAGATCGTTAACATCGACTGTGAAGCGGACGGGGTGGTGGTTGGACAGCGATACCAACTCACTGCGGTTTAGCCGCCCGGCACGTCCGCCAGTCGTTGTGAGCGTCGCTTCTCAGCCTCAAAGTGCACGGCCCAGTTAGCATCCTCACGAGCCTCCTCCACTCGAGGCCTATCTTGGTGCCGCTGATACCAAATCATTGACAAGTCCACTCGACTCCACATCCTGCTCTACCACATCAGCCCACTCAGAGCTGCTTCAGCCTGTGCTGTGCCCGTTTAGCCCCCTCTATGTGGCCACACGCACACGAAGATCCCCCCAAACCCCCCCGTGTAGCCATTAACAGACTGTTGGGGCAAGTGCTTTTTGCGAGCACCTAATGAGGCCGGCACGGCACACGAGGGGGTGGGTGGCCAACACGATGCCCAGTTGCCTTTATCTCCCAGTGCTGATTTTTACACACCGCACCAGGCACTCGTTTAAGGCTGAGTCAACCTAGAGGAGACTCGGGACCAGTGTAAAATATTCGCCGCTGTTATCGGTCGCGAGCGAAGACTCGAACTCGGGCCGCCGCATTTGTAGCACAATGCACGAGGCACTACCACTACACTACCACTACACTACCACTACACTACCACGCTCGCACGCCACTACACTACCACTACACTACCACTACACACCACTACACTACCACTACACTACCACTACACTACCACGCTCGCACGCCACTACACTACCACTACACTACCACTACACACCACTACACTACCACTACACTACCACTACACTACCACGCTCGCACGCCACTACACTACCACTACACTACCACTACACTACCACTACACTACCACTACACACCACTACACTACCACTACACTACACACCACACTACCACTACACACCACTCTACCACTACACTACCACTACACTACCACTACACACCACTACACTACACTACCACTACACTACCACTACACACCACTAGACTACCACTACACACCACTACACTACCACTACACTACCACTACACTACCACTACACACCACTACACTACCACTACACTACCACTACACATCACTACACTACCACTACACTACCACTACACACCACTACACTACCACTACACTACACCACCACTACACTACCACTACACTACCACTACACACCACTCTACCACTACACTACCACTACACTACCACTACACACCACTACACTACCACTACACTACCACTACACACCACTAGACTACCACTACACACCACTACACTACCACTACACTACCACTACACACCACTACACTACCACTACACACCACTACACTACCACTACACACCACTACACTACCACTACACTACCACTACACACCACTACACTACCACTACACACCACTACACACCAATACACTACCACTACACACCACTACACTACCACTACACTACCACTACACACCACACACCACTACACTACCACTACACACGACTACACACCACTACACTACCACTACACACCACTACCACTACACTACCACTACACACCACTACCACTACACTACCACTACACTACACACCACTACCACTACACTACCACTACACTACACACCACTACCACTACACTACCACTACACTACACACCACTACACTACCACTACACTACCACTACACACCACTACCACTACACACCACTACACTACCACTACACACCACTACACTACCACTACACACCACTACACACCACTACACTACCACTACACTACCACTACACACCACTACACACCACTACACTACCACTACACACCACTACACTACCACTACACTACCACTACACTACCACTACACACCACTACACTACCACTACACACCACCACACACGCGCCTGCACAAGCGCCAACAATCTTCGTGCGTGCAGCATGAATGACGCGCCGCTGCGCGGGTTCTCCCGGGACGTGGGGAACCGCACGTCGCTGCGGCTCTGCTACCCGGAGTCGTTGCCGGACACGAGTGCCGAGCACGACCGCTCCTCCTTCCTCGTCTTCCTGCCCTTCAAGTCGCGCGACCTCCAGTGGCTGTTGGCCGTCCTGCGCAAGCAGCCCGTGGTGAGTGCCGCGTGATGGTGACGATGGTAGCGGCAGAGGGCGGGGGCGGCGGGGTAGTTGTTGGTAGGGCCCGCCCCCTTCTGCACGCCGGGGCATCTCGGAGCGATTTACACACGGGATAAGCGACCGGCATCGCGTCTCATCGCAACGCCAGCATCTACGCTCCAAGCGGCCCATAAGTCTGACGATAGTGGGCAATGATTGGCATGTGGTCTAGCCTAGGGGACACCCAGTGGCAGCTGTTCTTGTGTGGCACAAGGTGACTCGGTATCTGCATTTCAAGCTGTCATTAGTCTGCCAATAGTGGGCGTTCATTGGCACGTGGTCTTGCCTGCTCTGGTGGGTGGTGCCTGCCTGCGCTGTAATGGATTGCGCACTGGACCTGCGCTCACAGCATAGCATTTGGTCGGGAATGTTTGGAATGTGCTGCCCCTTACCGCACTGACCCGGAGGTCAACTTGAAGAGACCTCGGAGGTAGCTCCGTGGTGTCCACTTCCCTGGGCCATTCTCCACTGCTCTGTGAGAGTTTCCGAATGGATTCTTCGCTTCTCGACGCGATGCTTACAGCACGACGGGGATAACTTGGGGTGTGTTTTATTCCGGACGCACACAGTACTATAATCCATCACAGATTTTTGGGTTTGGCCACGTGATGATATGAGCAAATGTAGCAAATATATAAGTACTCTATCTGTGATAGAGGTTTTTTTGGGGTTAGATCGCGTAAATATGTCGTTAAACCCGCCACCACCCGGCAACCAATTAGAAAGGTTTTGTGACGTAAACAAAACGTGCCAATTCGTTACTAGTTCAGCACACCGGTGATTTGGAGAATGAACCCACAACATTTACAATTGTATCTGATTATATACGTATCTAAAAAGTACCTAATTAGACAAGTATCTGATTAGATACATTCATTCGTGAGAATTGTTCAACTGAGCCGGCGAGTGAGCTGTTACGATAAAAAGTGATCACGCTGAAAGCTGTCACACGTGACAATTCAATGAGTTTCAGTCCTCGCGCGGTGCAGTGAAGGGGTACTTTAGAGAGACGAATTTTCCCAGATCATTATGTGTCGTCTAATCCCGGAGGCGTTCAGTAATGAATAGCGCAAGCGAATAAATGTACAACGCGAAGAAATTACGGCCGAACAAAATACGCGCAGAACGATGGACGCAAGAGCCGTGAACGCTGAAACCAGCATGGCAAGGTGTTGTGATGAGCGCCACACCCAGCCACCTTTGTCTCCCCCAGTACTGACATTGCACCGCCCATGCTGTTTACCCACCAAAAGGTTGCGTTGACTCAAGGCAGGTTCTCCAGGCCGAGTTCGCAGCACAGCGCACGTCACCCCTGTTTGTCCTGGCTGGGAGGGAGGGACTCTGGCCACTGGGAATACGGCTTATTGAACCAGCCCGAGCGCCACCACTCCCCGCTAATCACACGCACGCACAAAATTACAAAGATCCCCCCGTATAGCCTTTAACAGGCTGTTGGGGCAAATGCTGTGAGCGAGCGCAGATGAAAGCCGGCACGGCACATGAGGGGGTTGGTTGCCAGTGGCGATATTTACACACAGAACCACGTACTCATTTGCAACTGAGTTGAACTTGAGGAGGTCCAGGACCGGTTCAGATAATTATAATCGTCACTGGTGTTGGCAATGAGCAGAAATCGAACTTGGGTCGCCGGGCAGAGAGGGCAGGACACTCATCACTGCGCCCCACAACCACCACCACCACTGAGTCACTACTCCACCATCATCAACACCACCACCGCTAAATAGTCACACGCTACCACCACCAACATCACCGTTGTCACCAACACCACCATCACTACCACCACTGCTTAGTCACTACATCATCACCACCACCGCTGAGACACTTACACCACCATCATTGCTACTATCACCACCGTCACCACCACCACTACCACCATCAGCGTAACACGAGTTGTTCGTGCGAAGGTCACCGACGCGCTCCAACTGATCGCCACTGAACTCCGTCCGCCCTCGTTGTCTGTAGAGCACGCACGGGTTCTGGAAGACTCCGCCGAAGGCAACGTCGTTCGAGAGCGACCACATGAACATCATCAACCCCGATCTCATCAAAGTGGCCGGGCAGCACTTCGTCGGAATCTCTACGGAGAATCTCATCTCAGCGGTAACGTCGAGCACGCACAGAGGCACGCAACAACAACAACAACCGCCATTCGCCACTAAGTGGCGGTGACGTCACCACGACGCTTGTGCCAGGCAATGTGCACCCTGAGGCCACGTGAAGTGTCGAACGCCCGCTGGCAGGAGGTCACGGGGCAGACCCAGGTGCCACGGGTCGACTGACTGAGATGACTGGCTGATGCACCACCTGTGCCCCCTACTGTGCCAACCTGCTGTGCTTTAGCCACCCGGCGCTCCGCTCATTGTTCTGAGCGTCGCTCCTCCGCCCTCCGTTGTTGTTGGAGGGCGACTATCTCCAACTGCCCAGTAGCGTCCTTCACGAGCCTCCTCCACAGAGGCCGATCTTGACCCCGCTGGTACCAGTTATCGGCAAGTCCACTCAGCTCCACGTCCTCCTGTACCACATCACTCCATCTCTTCTCTAGCCAGTGCCGCGCCCGCTTAGCCCCCTCAATCCGGCTGAACAAAAGCTGTTTCGGCATGCGGTGGCTGGGCATGCGGGCTACATGACCCAGCCATCGCAGCCTTGCCCGCCGGAGGAGCTCACCGATGGGACCTTGCCCAGATCTTTCAAAGATTTGTGAGCTCCTCACACAATCCAGTCTGGTTAAACCCAGGATCGATCATAGGCAGGCCAGCCTAAATGTTTCTAACCGGCCAAGATGTTCCATTAGGGGGGTCCACGTTTCGCAAGCGTAGAGAAGGGAGGGAATGACCGTGGCCGAGAAGACCTGAAACTTAGTGCGGAGCGACAGACCAGGTAGCTTCCACACAGCGTTACGCAACCGATGAAAAGATATTGCCGCTCGACTGATTCGGAGTGAGACCCCTGCTGTTAAACTGGAGCCAGTCATAAGCACACTGCCCAGGTATGGGAAACTCTCCACTCTCTCCACAACTGCCCCATCACCGATTGGGAGTTGTGGGGGTGGAGTGTCCGATGGTACAAAATACCCAGGCAGGTGCTTAGTTTTGGTGGGGCTGATGGTAAGGCTACACCTCTTAGTGGCACGCTCCAGTCTCAGCAGCAGCGTCTCCAACTCCTCCTCTGACTGAGCAGCTATTACCAAATCATCAGCATACATAACGTGGTTGAGCAATAGGGAGCCATCCCTTGACCGCACCCGGGCATCGATCAGCCTCCCATTATATCTGTACCATATGGAGATTCCCCCGGTACAGCTATTGAAGGCTTCACGAACTACGTGGTCAAAATAGATGTTAAATAATGTGGGAGCCAGAGGACATCCCTGTCGCACCCCAAGGTGTACAGGGAATGGCTCTGACTCCCGGCCACGTAGTTTTACCCGGGCCCGCTCACCATCATGAAGGTCCTTAATGATCGTGAGCAGAGGGTCAGGTACTCCAAAAGCACGAAGAACGACCCAGAGCCCAGGCCTACTGATGGTATCATAGGCCTTGACCAGGTCAATAAAGCAGAGATGTAGGTCTTGTTGGAATTCCCTACACCTCTGCTGTAGCAGACGGACAGAAAATATGGCATCTGTGCAGGACTGCCCTTTCCTGAAACCGCATTGGGGCTCCGCAAGCCTCTCCTTAGCATGCCTGGCAAGGCGATGCTGAATAATCCTTGCCAGGACCTTTCCCGGCACACTGAGGAGTGAGATGCCCCTGTAGTTGTTACAGTCTGTGCGGTCCCCCTTCTTAAAAAGGGGGACCACCAGGGCATCCTTCCAATCCTGCGGAACCCGTCCAGTGGTCCAGACTGTTGTTATGATGTCATATAGGGCAGTTTGTGCACAAACGCCACCCTCCCTCAGCATTTCGCTTGGGAGATCATCTCTGCCCGCTGCCTTTCCTGGTCTCAGACTCCGGATCGCCTTCAGTACTTCCTCAACAGATGGCACCTCAGCCAGCCACTCACAGGGGGTGACTTCTTCCAATATTTGAGGCACTGCAGCCTCAGCAGGGTCATCCTCACTTTGTGCCACGATGTTTTCCTGGCTGAGGGATTTTCCCTCCCCCAGGACCTCACAGAAATGCTCAGCAAATCTCCAAACCTGTTCCTGGGGGTCGGAGATTGGATCACCGTTTTTTCCCCTAATGATGGTAATAGGTGTGGCGCTGCAGGTTACTTTTTTGATGGAGTTAAATAGAGATTTGTGATCGCGGGCCACTGAGGCAGACTCCATCTCCTCAGCAACCCGCGACCACCACCCATCCTTGCAGCGCCTCACGGCTCTCCGAACCTCCGAGCGAAGGCTGCGGTAAGCCTCCTCATTCCCTGACGTGGGATTCTGTAGCCGATGACAGTGGGCCTGTCGCTTTTTCTCAACCATCCTGAACACCTCCTCTGTCAGCTAGGGTCTCTGGGGAGGTCTGGACCGCATACCTAAAGCAGCCATTGCAGCTGCATAAGTCACAGTCCTAAACCTCGCCCATTTACCCTCGACATCAGGAGGAGTCGGGGACGATGCCAATCCCAGCCGCAAGTGATGATGAAATTCTCGCTTGCAACTTTCATCAGATAACTGAGACCAGGCCACTTTAGGTCGGAATGGGGTCCTGGGTGTACACCCACCACCAGAGTGGAAGAATGGCAGGTGCATCTTACAGATGACTAGTCGATGGTCAGAGGGCAGATCAGCTCCACGGTACGTCCTGGTGTCAAGGAAATGGGCTCGCATCCGCTGGTCAATCACTATGTAGTCCAGCAGATGTTCTTGCTTGGACCCGGCATGCTTCCATGATGTTGTGTGGATGCGCCGATGCCGGAACAGCGTGTTGGTAATTACAAGGCCATGGGCTGCACAAAAATCTAGCAGCCTCCTACCGTTGTTATTGAGCTGATCTGGCCCATGCCCTCCAATCACTCCAGACCAGGTGCCAGTATCATGACCAACTCGGGCATTGAAGTCACCCAACATGATGACTCTATCCCAAGGGGCCACTTTAGCCAGCACCTGTGACAGGAGGTCATAGAAGGTATCTGACTCATCGGCTTTGCCTGTATCCCTCCACGGATGTTCATCTTCGGTGAGGGCATAAGTAACCACGACCACCATTCCTCGCCTCCGGTTGATGGGAAGGCAAGCCCAAAGTAGCCTGGGGCTTACAGCTTCCCACACCTCACCGCCACACTCCCACGCCCCCTTCATTCTTTTGTTCAAAAGAAGAGCCCACCCTGTTGTTTGGCAGTCTGCTGCCCCGAGTAGAGGACTGTCCACCCCTCATGGTGGCAGGAGCCAGAGCCGGTCCACCGGACCTCCTGAATGCCGCATAGATCCAGGCGGTACCGGTCCAGCTCCCGACAGAGGAGTGGCAGCCTCTCCTCCGCAGTGAGCGTTCGAACATTCCACGTGGCCACCCGTAGTGGCTTTTCGTTGTTTCTGGAGTAGCCCCGAGGGTAGGAATTCAATCTCCTGGCTCCTTCAATTGGGGTTTGGCCAGGAGAGGTCATAGACGCCTGGCCCCCCGGGGCCTCCGGCACAAGCTTATTAGTTACAAGACGCACGCACGCAAGCACGCGCGGCGTGATGGAGAAACCTCCGATGCGAACTCCCGCGAGGCATTGCGTTGGAGAGCGACCCCGTGCAGAGCTGCTCTTTGGTTTCCCGAGTCCGTGTCTCCCCTTGCATTTCCCCCCCCCCAAAACAGTGTTTAGAGTCACACGAGTGGCGATAACACAGCAACGCTTAGTTCCCACCGTCGACGTTGAGACTGCATAGGTAACGATGGTGGATGGAGGGGGCGGGGGGGCGGGGCGATTTTTTGCGTGGTCACCGTTGATCGGAATTATATCGTACGATACGAAATCCATGATGAATCCTCCCGTCCACTTTCCTAAATCGGGATTATTGTTGTTCTGTTTTATTTATTTGATTTATTTTCGTATAATTTCTCCCGACCAAATATTCACAAAATAAAAAAATCTCAATAATAAAATAGGAACAAACTCAACACGTGTGTCAATGACAACACCGCGTGTGTGTGTGTGTGTGCGTGTGTGATTGGGCGTGATGCTGGCCACCCACCCCCACGTGTGCCGTGCCGGCCTGCCTAGGTGCTGCTCGCTAACATAACTTTCCCAAACATTCTGTTACACGTTACACGGGGGATCTTTGTACTTGGTCTTAAAGAAAAAATATCCTAGGCGACGTTGCGGACAATGTTCCTTCTTCGTAGTACATAGGGAGGCCCGTAGAGAGAGGGAGTGGATGATGGGAGTTGGAGACAGCTGCGCTTGTTTACTCCGTGGGTACCTGATGAGAATTAGGGTGAGACATTTGTTTTCGATGACCCGGTTTTTAAATTGGCATGTGAATAGGGACGCTAACTGTAGCTGATGAGTAGTAATTAAACAGGTGTCACGTTGCCTGTTTAACAAGCCAGCTTCGGGTGACGTGCTTGTTCTGACTTCCTGGATTATGTCATGAGAATACTTGGCGCAATTTCAAGAGAAGCGTCGCGTACCCACTTCGTACTTTTGTGAGGATTACTTTTCAGCTCACCGGTGAGCAAACCTGTCAACCCCTTATCAGCGCCCTACCTTATTACAGACCAACTCAGACCTTATTGGTCACCCCGTGCCCCTTATAAATCTCAACGTTCATCCTACAAAGTCCCACCACAAGGGAGAAACACAAACAAATATATTTGTTTTGTTGTTGCCCGTAGTGAAACGGCTGTACGCCGTATGGACCTGAAAACTCAATTTGCCTGTACAAGAACACGGAGTAAAACCGTATGGGTTGACAGCTATGGGTGAGTGAGCTGACTAATTAACAATCAGCGCACCGCTAAACGTTCGTTGTGCACCACGTGACAATGACGTTTATTTGGCCGCGTCTGGTGGTGGAAGGTCTTTCGTGGCCTAACCCCACAAAAAAATTATTAATCAAAATAAAGTTCTAATGAAATAGCTAATTCCCCTTCAAATTATGTGCTTTTCAAAAATGTTTTCCACGGTGATCGGTGACATGATGTTGAACGTCTTTTGCACGTAGCCAACCGTGCTAATCGGAGGTGATGTTTGTACGAATTTTTTTTGGTAGTTTCTTGTGAATGACATTCATTTATCTTTTAGGCCACCGGCTCCTCGCTGGGTGGCTGCTGCCCGCTTGTCTGTGGTTCCTGCTCCTGGCGGTGGCGCGTTCTGAGTTGTTATCATGACCACCATCATCGTCACGCGTATCCAACAAGAGGGGGGCCCTTGCGCCAGGTCGTGCGACCTCTTACGATGGCACCGGCAGCGGAAGCTTTCTCTCGCTGCCCCTCGTGGCATCTCGCGGGCGACTTGTCCGCACTGCCCGCTAAATTGAGGGCACGACCACAGGGGGAGGGGGGGTGGAATGGGTGCGCCGTTCCTGCGTGCAGTGGTAATCCGCTCCGCCGGGCAGCTGCGGTGCCCCGAATAACGGCGGCAGCCCCCTTCGAAGTTGAGTAGCCGCACGCGCGCGGCTTTCTAAACGCGCCGTGGATCGCAAAGTCGCGACGATTAAACAGCTGCCGCACGGCCACCACTTTTGAGCGAAACTTAACGTGACACCACCCCCCGCCTCAGACAATCAATCGCGTAAGTTGAACGTCGGGCTAGCGGGTGTGGTGGAGCATTTGTTAAGGGGTTGTGTTGCTTTTTACGATTGCCAGCGAAATTAATTTACACCCTTTCGGCCAGCAGACCGCAGACTTGGTGAAAAATATCGCGCGACAGAATCGCTGAGCTCGCACTTGAGAGGTGCCGCGCCTTGACCCCCGGGTTGTATCGCTCATTCGCTCGGCCCAATGCCCCACCCCAGCGATTCGCTGTTAAACGCTGCGGGATGCGCTGGCTGCCTGACAAATGTGGAACTTCTGGTTTTGGTCCTCGTGCCGAGTTGTTTGGACAGCCGACCGACATTGTGATCAATTCCCATGTGCGTGTGTGCATGCATATGTACGTATGTGTGAGCTATGAGTGTGCATGTGGGGAGCTGTGGCGTGGAAGTTAGAGGGCCGCGCGACGAATCCAGCGTTCGATTCCCGCTCACGGCCAACACCAGTGGTGACGATTATCTGAACCGGTCCTGAGCCTCCCCTAGGTCGACTCAACATTAAATTAGTACCTGGTGCGGTGTGTAAAGCATCGCTGGCCGCCCACCCCCTCGCGTACCGTGCCGGCCTTCATAGGTGCTCGCTAACAGCACTTGCCCCAACAGTAAGACGAGACAGGGGAGTGAAAGGGAAGCAGAAGTGGTGCTCTGAGTGTGCTGCATCCCGCTCTTGGCCAATGCCAGTGACAATCTGCACCAGTTCTGGGCCTCCCCTCAGCCTCAACCGAGTTCCTGGTGTGGTGTGTAAACATCGCCACTGGGGAGGCAAAGCATTCCCTGTCCACATCCATCAGCCATGCAGATTTCCACACGGCCCGTATCTGATTGGAGAGCCTTTCGACATCTGTCAAATTCACTGGGATTGGTTCAGGCCAGCCTCGATCTCAATAGCTCGTCAACCAGTTCCAGAGTTAAATTGTGTTGATCCCAGGTGCTGCTGACATGAGGCACTCCCAGAAGGCCGTGTTGGCCGATGGGATGTGTAACAAAATAAACAAAAAAACGTTTATGCGAAGAGACGGATACGGCGAGGAGGAATGTTTCCAGTTATTCGTACCACTATCGTCTTTTTGTACTGCTTGTTGGTGTAACGTTCTTACACACCACGTGTGTCGGGCATCATTACAAATTCATACCTCCGCCCATTGTGTCAGTTATCGCATACTGGCGGCACATTCTGAAGGTTGAAAGTTAAAACGCCGGTCAGGAATCGACTAAACACATTATACCTTAATGGTGGAACAAACTAAGTATTAGATAATTTTAGTGCTATAAATGTCCAAATGATGGGTCAATTTGTTGAGCTATCATTTGTGGCCAGGTCGCTTCTGAATAATAAGTTCATACCTCAGTGGGCGTCGCCTGGTAGCATGGGGATGGTTGAATTGTTTTTGTATGTGTTGGGGTGATGTGTTTACCTTTCTTGTACTTTGCACTGCTATCATGTTTTTGTACTGTTTGTTGTTGTAACCCGCCCCTACTGGACATCTGTGAAAATAACGAACTTTATAGCTCAACGGATTCCTCCGGTATCATCAATGTTATAATTCTGATCCCTGCAAAAAATGAACGTGTGGCTCCCTCTTGTGGACGAACACTGATACAGTAATGCGTCCTCCGTCGAGCGGAGCTTGGGAATCCTTTCTTCTGCAGGACTGTCGGTTCCATTCCTCGACCAATCGGACAACATGAACTCAAAGTACTGTTTTTCTGGGTTAGATCGCGTAAATATAAATGTGTCGTTAAACCCGCCACCACCCGACGCAGTCAATTAGCAAGGTTTGTCACCTAAACAAAATGTGCCAATTCGTTACGAGTCCAGCACACCGCTGTGTTGGAGAGTAAACCCACAACATTTACATTTTCGAGTACGACGTTTCGCCAGTAATTACAACCAGCATCATGATGGCTTTACTCTCCAACACACCGCTGTGCTGTACTAGTAACGAATTAGCACGTTTTGTTTACGTGACAAATCTTACTAATTGGCTGTCTGGTAGTGGCGGGTTTAACACACATTTATATTTCCACGATCTAACCCAAAAAACCTCTATTATAGATAATATTGGTCAAGAAAGCCTACGTGTTAAAATTAAAGTATCTGTTAACATGGGCGGTGTGTAAATATCAGCAACTGGGGAGACAAATGCGGCTGGGCGTGGTACTGGTCACACCACCACCTTCTTGCGCTCTGACAGCCTTCAGAGGCGATTCTATTTGATTAAAAATATTTGTAAAAACTCGTCCCCTGCTAAAGAGGGCATCGCAATGCTTTACAGTATAAGTTGAACGAAGGTAGTTACTATACCTATACAATCAAGAAACCTATAAAAATATATCACAATGAGAGGACATACTCAAGGAAAAGCTAAAAGGAAACCAATGAGTCTCGCAGAGTTTCCTGAACTCTTTGTTTGCAAGTTCACCACAAGTTTATGTGGTTAATACAGACATGATTCCTTGCGAAAGGTTTCTGTTTGGTGTTTGAACATCTTAACACCTCCTGTTTTATTGCCAGAAAGGGTAAAACCTATTCTTATATATTTCCTAAACTGTTTGGTGCTCGGAGCCAATCTGAGGGCCGGCGAAAGAGAGTTCACATGTTAGGTGCCACACTCGAGAAGGCCCTACTACTGCCCAACGTAGAATGATCGCAAGCAGCACTTGCCCCAATAGTCTGTGAAAGGCTAAACAGCGGGATCTGTGTGTTGATGTGTGTGTGGAGCGGCAGTGGAGCGGTTAGAGTGCTGCGCTATGGCCCCGGCGACACGAGTTCGATTCCCGCTCATGGCCAACACCAGTGACGATTATCTGAACTGGTCCTGAGCCTCCTCTAGGTCGACTCAGCCCCAAATGAATACCTTGTGCGTTTGTGTAAACATCGCCACTCGGGAGACAAAGGCGGTCGGGTGTTGTGTGGGCCACCCACCCCCTCGTGTGCAGTGCTGGCCTTGATCGATGCCCGCATACAGCGCTTGCCCCAACAGTCTGTTAAAGATTACACGGGGGGGGGGATCTTTTTGTTTTTATTTCACAGCCCCTGACTCCCACAACGGGCATCATCGCCATCACGATCGGGCTGCGTCTGTGCGACGAGCTGCACATCGCCGGCTTTGGCTACAACACCAGTTCCCCGGACAACCCGGTGCATTACTACGGCAACAACACCATGTCCTTCATGAACAAGGTGCGCGCAGGCCCCAGCGTCCGCACGACGGGGATCCCATGTCCCTCCGACCACCAGAGGGTTCATCGTCATCATCATCGTCGTCGTCTTAATAATGATGATAATGCCAAGCTATAACGCGCCACCGTCGCCGCACAGCTCTCGCCCATCGCTCCTCTCGTAGAGAGAGAGAGAGGATGGCTCAGAGGCGTGAGGAGGAACCGCATCAGGAGTGGGGAAGGCAGCACTGGCGGTCAGGCGGTTTGAGTTGGCGCTACCAACAACTGCCCAAGCTCTGCGGTCCTCTGTAAAGGTGTTATTTGCCAATTGACGAGTGTTTACACGCAAGCCCCATACGGACGGAACTGGTGGAGTCCACATTTTTGCTGCACCACCTCCTCCTGGGAAGCCAGGCGATGGCTCATCGACGCCCACGGGGAACGAGATTTGTAAAAATGCTTGGGATCCACCAACCTTCACCTCCACAGTGCTGCAGGCATGCGCCACCACCGCCCGGCTAAAGAATGTCTGTATCTAGTCACTAAGCCAGCCCTACTGAGACCCTGGGTCTGAGTGCCTCTCTCTCTCTCTGTCAGAGGGTTCATAATGTCAGAGCCAGCACCACTAGGCTCACTCTCTGACAGACAGAGAGAGACACTCAGACCCAGGGTCTCAGTGGTGCTGGCTCAGTGTCTATATCAGTCACTGAGCCAGCCCCACTGAGACCCTGGGTCTGAGTGCCTCTCTTTCTCTCTCTCTGTCTGTCAAAGGATTCATAATGTCAGAGCCAGCACCACTGGGTTCACCCTCTGACAGAGACATTCAGACCCAGGGTCTCAGTGGTGCTGGCTCAGTGTCTATATCATTCACTGAGCCAGCCCTACTGAGACCCTGGGTCTGAGTGCCTCTCTCTCTCTCTGTCAGACGGTTCATAATGTCAGAGCCAGCACCACTGGGTTCACCCTCTGACAGAGAGAGACACTCAGACCCAGGGTGTGAGTGTCTCTCTCTCTCTGTCAGAGGGTTCATAATGTCAGAGCCAGCACCACTGGGTTCACCCTCTGACAGACAGAAAGAGACACTCAGACCCAGGGTCTCAGTGGTGCTGGCTCAGTGTCTATATCAGTCATTGACCCAGCACCAATGAGACCCTGGCTTCTAGACGTGGAGGAATGTCCCCGGCAAGCCATGGCTCAAATAATCCCCATGATCGCACAACAAGGAGAGACCCCCCCCCTTCCAGCTTTGGATTGATAAACGGGGCTCTATCTGAAAGAATAGGTTTTATCCTTTCTGGCAATAAAACAGGCGTTAATGTTAAAACATCAAACTGAAACCTTTTTAAAGGAATCATGTCTGCATTAATCACACATACATGTGGTGAACATGCAAACAAAAAAACATGATCTGATAGTATATGCAATGTGTTTTAAATTGATTGGTCCACACCAGAGACAGCTTTCTTTAGAGCCTAGTCTCAAACAGTGTTAGACCATAGGACGCCTAAAGGCGAACAGCACAAAGACTACACAATCCGCAAGGCCATCACTCCAGTCACGAAGTAGGTTCCTCTTGAGGAGCCATTCAAAACCATCACCTTACCCTACATTGCTGGGGTCACAAAAAAGACTTCCAAAATCCTGAATAAACACAAGATCCAGGTCCGATTCAACACAGTACATAAAATCCGTGATCTGGTTCCGTCTGTAAAAGATGCTGTTCCAGATATACAGTACCCGGGTGTTTACAAACTAAGTTGCCTCTGTGGTAGCAACTACATTGGAGAAATCAAACGACATATCTCAGACCGCATCCGCGAACATAAAGCAGACTTGAAACACGGTAGGACTAACTCCTCGTCCGTGGCAGATCACTGTTATAATTCAGTGGGCTCACATGACATTGACTTCTCCAAGACGGAGGTTCTCTGCAAGCCATCCGGCTACCATGAAAGATTCGTTCATGAGGCCATCCACATATACAAACACAGAGACAATTTCAACCGAGAAGATGGATTCTGGCTTAGTAACCATTGGAAAGATGTTATAAACCATTTCAGTTCTTAATTGATTGTATTTTACGGTGACCTTCAGACCGCAGTCAATTCGCTAGCACTGCCTCTTGATATCTTTCACACCACAGTCAATGGTATGGTTTATAACATGTAGTATAATAATAAATAGTACAGCATCGTAATGTTTAACATAATTCATAAGGCAATATATAGTATCGTAATTGCATAATGAATATACAGCAGTGTGTCATACATTAAGGTTGACAGAATAAGACAGTGTAATATTACAAGTCTAATATTTTTATAGTCTAAAGTATAGGGTAGTACACAGTAACGCATTGTATAACTTACAAATTTTCCCACTGCCCCCGTGCAGTGGCCCACTGGACGTACCGCACCATCAACAGAACAAAAGAATGATTAACTTAATTTTCCCACTGCCCCCGTGCAGTGGCCCAGCGGACGTACCGCACCATCAACAGAACAACAGAATGATTAACTTAGCCCCACACCCCATCAATGTCCCCCACTTGGCCCCGCCCTTAACACAACTGTTTTATTGCCAGAAAGGGTAAAACCTATTATTTTATTTTGATACTGGCAAGGGAGGTCCCATGAATGGCTCGATCTGCACCGTGATTATAGAATTACATAGTGATACGTAAAAATAATGATACTCGCATATATATTGTGCCCATAACGTAACCAAACGTCTCAGAGCACGTATCTTTTTTACGTGCGGGACTCCCTATGAGCAGCTCGTCCGGACGTGTGGCACAAAGCGAACAAAGCATCTTGCCTGTGATTTGGCATTAATATACCGGTAGGGGGCGATCTTGCCATACGTTATATCAATTGGTTAATTTCAGAGTGATTTGTCACATTTACCATTACTATTATTCCGTTTATTTACCCAGGAAAGTTCCACTGAGTCTGTATGACTGTTTTTCACGAGGATCCTGCAAAAGTTTTCACAGCAGGAGGGCGATGCCCGCTGCTATGTGTAATCCTAAATTACTCAACTGCAGTGTAATATATCAAATTGAACAACTTTGTCCAGTGACGCTGGCACACGATGGCCTACTCTTGCGAATGACATCACAGGGTCTTTGACGTCCCCTGTGAAGCAGACGGCACATTATTTCATGCTTAACATACCCGCAGCATTAACCAGGGCGGCCGCTGCGGATCGAACCACAAACCTCTGCAACAAGCGACGAGCACATCCACTGCCACGGCTGGGCCGTGTTCCCTTCCCAGCGATCGTTCAGCGTTTCCGCTTTGCAGCGAATGAACGAGAAAAGCACGTGAGCAGCTGTTGATCGCCGTGCCCTTCCTTGTCTTGCAGTCAACGACCCACAACATCACGGCGGAAGGAGCTTTCATTCACAAGCTCGTGGAGGACCGAGTTATCCTGGACCTGACGAGGCCGAGCAACAACCACGATACTCGGAAGAATGAACCGTGCAAAAGCACGTAACGTTATTTAACAAATAAAATTACGCGATTTTTTTTAGCATAATTTTAAAGTTTTTTAATGTATTACCAATTCACATTCCAACGATAATACGATGACGATGGCGACGATGAAAAGTCTGTCACGAGCTGATGAACGCGTTGTTTACGTACGAAACCGCTCGATGCGAGCGGCACGGTAAATGAGAAAGTGGCCGTAGAAGATAATGTCATGGAACTAACTCTGAGGTCGCTTCAATTGGTGTCTAATCGACACTGGACGGTGGAGCGTTTCACGTGCCGTGCGGCAATCGGTAGTGGTGCTTGGCGTAAAGCAAACCAACCTATTTCATCTGCATCTCTCTTGTCATCTCACTTAATTTAATTGGGGGGGACTCACAAAAAAAATGATTACGAGGCCCCCCCCCCCCACCAATTAGCCAGTGCCACCACAGATGGCAATGAAGTTTCATCTTCAGTTCACACAATGAGGATCATGAGAAGTCCTGCTATTTTTTAAATTAATGATTCATATATCGAGTATTCCATCACACACACAAAAACCCAAACTATGAACGTTTTTATTTCGGCATTGTCATACTGCTTTGCACTGGCTTTGGGAAGCCAATGTGATTGAGCTCATTGGCTTGTGATTGGTCGATCGCACTTTCAAGCCAATTTTCTAAATGATGGTTTTCACACAAAAAGAAAACCTATCCACGTTTCCCGCTCCCCCCCCCCCCCCATTTTATTTAATTTTAAGAAGCTGTTGTCCATTTCATATTTTTTTAGAATGTAAAAGAAAAGTGAAAAATTCATTGCAATGTATGGAAATGAATGTGGCGTGTGGAAGACGGCATAATACTGCCGCTGCCTTATCTGTAGATGCTCAAGAAATGTCAGCGGTGAATGTCATGAAGAGTGACTGCAGTGTCATACGAACGACACTACCTGCAATAGAAAGTTGCGGGGTTTTTTTGTTTGTTAAATCATCGTAGCAATTAAGTTGTATTGATTGTAAATAATACAAACCTTAGACATATCACGTTACCGCGTGGGGTTTCCACGGTTGTGCCGCCTTGTAGCTTCTCCGATGTTTTTTTTCGGGTTGTGTTGTTCGGAAAACGATTTTTGACGTTTTTGCTCCCAGCGGTTGTGGCGAAACGTTGAGCACCATGCCAAAACTTGCCGGAACAACCCCACGGAGAACACAGCAGAGAGCCATGTCCTGTCATATAATTTAAACAACTATGGATTTTATTTTTAAATCAAGACAAAAGTAGCTCTCTCTGCTGTGTTTTTGAGTCATACTGCGTGCTGTGTGAGCTGTTCTGCGTGATGTCCGGCGCTTCGTTCCACTTGCAGAGAGCATCTTCAACAACCGAACAACACGTGGAGGAGCTATACGCACAATCACAAAGAGCCCTGCGTGGGCGTATCCAAGACTCATTTTATAGGAGGCTACTGCTTGGAATTGGGCAACCAATTCCATTTAAGAGTTCAGACACATTTTTTTGAAGTGATCACATACCTGTCAACCCCTTATCAGTGCCCTACCTTATTACAGATCAATTCAGACATTATTGGTCAACCCGTGCCCTTTATAAATCTCAACGTAAATCCTACAAAGTCCCATCACAAGGGAGAAACACAAATAGATACATTTTTTGCCCGTATTGAAACAGCTGTACGCGGTATGGACCTGAAAACTCAATTACCCTGTACAAGGATACGGGTAACCTGCATGGGTTGACAGATAAGTCATCTTATCCCTACTGAAACTAAAATAAACACATTACCATAATAATGTGAAATACAGTACAACAATTTGAAAACATTGTCAACATTTCTACTTGTAGGAATCCTACATTATGCTAAAAGAGTGAATTGGGCTGAGCCTGATTGTGTTCGTATCAAGTTAATGGTTAGGTGTCCCTTATCATTAACTGAGGAAAAGTAAAATGTGCGTATATATTGTCTGGTGTATTGCACATTTTTACATTAATGTATTTTTTATTATTAGAATTATCGTCTCGTTTGTTTAAATGTCTAGTGCCTTAATATTATATAATGTGAAAACCACTTACAATGCTACTGTAAATCTGTCGGAAGACTGAAGGGTTATTGAGCATAGTTTCGTAACCTTTCATTGTTTCTCTGTTTAGTCATTTTCTGCTGCTAAGAAAATTGTGTTGTTTTTACAATTTTAACAGATGATTAAACAACACCGGCTTAATTGTTTGTCCTCAATGTTGGTTTGACAAGGGTGGGAAAACCCCGATTTTTTTTTGCCCGACAAATCGGGTTATTGGGTTTAATGGAATTAAATCCGATTTTTCCGATTAAAACCTGGTTTTATTATTGGCGTCTCGTGCACACTTCAATCCTGCTCCTCGTCGTCGTCGTCCGCCGCCGCGTCGTCTTCGTCGTCGCTCTCGCCGCTGGACTCGGTGTTGTCGTTGCCGTCGTCGGGCGTCGGGGTAGTCGTAGAACGCATTGAGGTTCGACTTGATGAAGACGAGCTTCTCGACTGTGTCGGGCGCCAGGCTGTTCCTCAACTTGGAATGGATAAATCCCATCGTCGAGAAGTTTCGCTCAGACGCAGCGGCGGCAGTCGACGTGGCCATGCGGAACAGTTTGATGGCGATCTTCTGGAGCGCGGGATAGTCGCTGCCGTCGAGTGACGAACTCACGACGAAGGCCTGGGCGAGGGCCGAACGCACCGCGTGGCTCAGGCGCATGGCGGCTGAGCCACGCGTGCGACTGAAATCCCGACTTAACTTTTGATTTAAAGCTTTCGTGACTGCAGTAATTCATATTCTTAGCTCTTTCGTTAAAGTCACGTTGAAGGGAAACAATAAAATAATAAAATATATATAAAACAATAAAAATTCTCACATAAATTAAATTAATGCAAACCGACACACCTGATGACGACTGTTTGTGTTATGGTCGAAACGTCGTGAGAATTTTTATTGTTTTATATATTTTATTATTTTATTGTTTCCCTTCAACGTGACTTTACCGAAAGAGCTAAGAATATGAATCCCGACTTAACTTTAATAAAACCGAATAAAACCGGATTTGGGCAGGATCCATGTGCTCCGGTTTTATATAAAAAACGATTAAAACCTGAATGAATAAAACCGGGCCGTGCCAGCCTTGTGATTTGAAGCTTTTGTGACTGCAGGAATCCATACTCTTTGGTTCTTTCGGTAAAGTCACGTAGGTAGAATAATAAAATAAAAAATAATATTCTAGATTTGAAGTTTTCGTGACTGCAAGAATCCATACTTTTAAAACAGTCTGCATCAGCAGCAGACCATGCATTCCCACCTGATGACGGGCGCTTGTGTCGCGCCAGAAACGTCGTGATTTAATTTAGTTATTTTCATTTTATTATTCTCATTACTATTATTATTTTTCATCTACGTGACTTTACCGAAAGAACCAAAGAGTATAAAAAATAATATATCACGACGTTTCGATCACAACATAAGCGATCGTCCTCAGGCAGAAACAAATAATCCAGCTGAACCAGCGAGAGAGCTGTTACAACAACAAGAGGTAAAATATGTGGCGAAGGGCAAGCAGGCGGGGTCTGAGCTGGAAAGGAATGCCATCCCCGGACGCAAGCACGTCAGTTGTGTTAATGGGGGAGATTAAAGACTGATTTTAAAGTCATTGAGTCTTAAAACACACACGCACAGACATGCTGATCCAGGTACAGTGCCGGATTATCCTAGTACCAAAAGTAGCTACACATGTAGTAGTTACACATGTAGTAGCTACACATGTAGTAGCTACACAAGTAGAAGTTACACATGTAGCTACTACACGTGCACAACGAATAGCATTAAAAGGTAAAACAATAAATAACATTTCTGGACAATAAAGAGACCGTTTTTATTTAAAATGTTTGATTCAATGGGAAGGCGTAGTCTGCATAGGTGTGCATTGCACAGCCTGTTGAATTGAGAGATACTCGGCTTGTTTCGGATGTGCGGTGGCTGGCGGGGTGTTCCAGGAGTCGGGGAGGTGAGGACTTGGGGTTTTATATCAGCCGCTGACGTTTCAGGCAGTGGGCCTTCACAGCACTAATTTAAGATGAGGTTTGTGACAAAGACCCTGCAAGGAACAATTGAAAGCGACGTTTTGGGCAATGACCTTCTTCATTGCACACAATTTAAGGCGATGCTTGGGCAATGGCCCTTCCTTCAAGAACAAAAATGTATGGCGACGTTTCGGGCAGCGGCCCTGCTTCATAGGACATAACTGAAACCGACGTTTCGGGAAATGGCCCTTCATAGCACACATTTAAGGCGATGTTTGGCTCAACGGCCCTTCAAGGAAAGATTTAAAACGACGTTTCAGGTATTGACTCTTCTTAACAAACAAAAAACATTTCAAGCAACGTTTCAGGAATGGTCATCCATACCGCATGATTTAAGGCAACGTTTCGGGAATTGGGCCTTGAAAGAGCAATACGTGTGAGGTGATGTTTGGGGAGAATTACCCTTCTCCAAGGAACAATGAAAGTGGCCATGGCGCTTCTACATCGCACATCCATACCTGTCAACCCCTTATTACAGACCAATTCAGACATCATTAGTCACCCCGTGCCCTTATAAATCTCAACGTTCATCCTACAAAGTCCCATCACAAGGGAGAAACACAAATAAACGAAAAAGAATATGCCCGTATTGAAACGGCTTACGCCGTATGGACCCAAAAACTCAATATCCCTGTATAAGAATACGGGGTCAACCTTATGGGTTGAGAGGTATGCACATCGTTTCAGATTAAGTTTGAGCGAAAGGCTCTTCAAGGAACAATTTAAGGCAACGTTTTTAGGGAAATGGACCTTGAAGAAACAATGTCAAAAAATGTTTCAGGCATCGCCCCTTCTTAAAGAAGAAAAGGCGCGGTTTCAGGCAAATTGTGCTGACCGATTGGTGTCCGTAGCAGAGCTACTTTTTTGGTGGCGAGATGACGGAAGAGAGATTTAACCAGATTATATAAATTATAGACAAAATGTAATGAGATGCATCGCTGTCAACCCCTTATCAGTGCCTACCTTATTACAGACCAATTCAGACCTCATTAGTCACCCCGATTCCTTATAAATCTCAACGTGCATCCGACAAAGTTCCATCACATAGAGATATAAAAAATGTTTTGCCCGTATTTAAACGGCTGTGCGCCGCATGAACCTGAAAACGCAATTTCCCTGTACAGGAATACGGGTAAACCTTATGGGTTGACAGGTGTGGAGATGAGCGATACAGATGTGACAGAAATATTAGGCCACTTTCGGGCCCAAGTATGCAACCCAGTAACAACCCAAAGTCGGGTCAACATTGGCTTGTTGTTGTTGTGAGTGGTGGTGAACCGTTGGTCCAAGGTTGCGTGTTTACTTGATACGCTATTTGGGTCAAATACGCCACGAGAAGGGACCGACAGCACGTGTAGGCAGGCCGTCAGGGAGCCGGACCCTCCAATTCCACACAACGGAGACAAGTGACGAGACACGTGTCCCCGACCTCTACAATCGCTGCTGCACATTTACCCACTGCAGAATTAAAAAAAAATCGCGTTGACTGCGTTTCGTTCCAAGTCACGTATTTTGTGTTTTTTTTATCCCCTTCAGTTTGTTTTCTTCTTTCGTTGCTTGTGGTTATTCCGACTCGGCCGCCGATTTGCAGCGGCGGGCTTTGTAGTGCGCGCTGCCAGGACTACGCGAGCTTTTGTCGCCAAAATAACCCCCCCCCACGCCGCCGCCGCTTCCTCCGTCGTTTGTTCACTCCCCGGTTGCTGCCAATAACCTCGCGCTATTCGGCACTAAGTGGCGCTGATGTCCCACGGCGCCTGTGCCAGGCTAGGTGCACTTTGAGGCCGCGTGGAATGTCGAAGGCTCGCTGCTGACAGGTCTCGGGACAGACCCAGCAGGTGCCAAGGGTTGGCTGACTGAGATGACCGGTAGATGTACCACCAGCTGTACACCCTACTGTGCCACGCTAGGTGCAGGAGGTCTCGGGGCAGACACAGCAGGTGCCACGGGTTGGCTGACTGAGATGACCGGAAGATGTACCACCAGCTGTACCCCCTACTGTGCCAGGCTAGGTGCAGGAGGTCTCGGGGCAGACACAGCAGGTGCCACGGATTAGCTGACCGAGATGACCGGTAGATGTACCACCAGCTGTACCCCCTACTGTGCCAGGCTAGGTGCAGGAGGTCTCGGGGCAGACACAGCAGGTGCCACGGGTTAGCTGACTGGGATGACCGGTAGATGCACCACCAGCCGTCCCCCCATAATGTGCCAAACACTGTGGAATCCGCAAGCCGATTGGTGCGGCTCGCCGGCCAATCGCTCGCCACCTTAGTGGAGTAGCGGGGATGGAAGGGGCGGGGGGTAGGAATAGGGTGAGCGGGAGGGGTAGGACCTGATCAACCCCCCCTACCGGAAGTGACGTACAGAGGAACCACCTCGGCTCGACCAATCGGCTGCGAGGAAGGCGTGAGTTTGAGCGCGAAAACGGCGGTTGGGCGCTCGGCGGTTCCAGCGAGGTGCCGCCAGCTCGTCACCATCAGCAACATCATTGCGACCACCACACATCATTAGTTCCACTAACTACTACAACCGTGCAAGAGACAGACACCCCCCCCCCCCGTATAGCCTGAACAGACTTTCTCGAGGCAAGTGCTGTTGGGCGAACACCCACGAAGCCCGGCACGCGTGGGTGGTAAGCACCAACGCCCGGCCGTCTTTGTCTTCACCAGTGGCGATGTTTACACATCGCACCAGGTACTCATTTGAGGCCGAGTCGACCGAGGGGAAGCCCCAGGAGCTGTTCGGATAATCGTCACCGGTGTTGGTCGTGAGCGAGAATCGAACTCGGGTCGCCAGGTTCGTCGTACCGCAGCGCGGTCATCACTGACTACTACTGTACACACATCGCATCACTGCCACTCACCTCATCACTAGAATACTTACAATACACCTCATCAATACACATTGCAACATCACTACCACTCCTCATCACCACACAAACGACTATACACCATCATCATTACTACTACCGTCTTTAGTATAGGCCAATCAGTTTCAAAGAATGCATATATTATCAGAGCATGTTTATTTGCATGTTCACCACAAGTACTGTATGTGCTTAATGCAGGCTTAATTCCTTGCAAAAAGGGTATCTTTTTGGCGTTTGAACAACTTAACCCCTGTTTTATTGCCAGAAAGGGTAAAACACTTCTTATTTGTCATACGATGTTATCGTTACTGTTGCCGGAGTTGATTTCACTTTTCCAGCGGTGGTCCGAATATGGCGCTTTGACCACAACAAACTCATGCTTAGGCATCCCTAATATACGTGCCAGGACATAATTCACACACATTTCGTACTCACGGGAGACTTTGGGGTTGTGTACTATACAATAACATTTCAGTTTACAGTATATGGCATCCAAATACAACCGCACCTCATGTTGGGAAGAGTAATGTGTTTTTTTTTGTACAAGCAGGGTGTTTTGCAAGGAGTGCACCAGTAAGTGGGAAGAAGGTGCTTCGAGAATAACGAACGAAAGCTCAGATGTCGCAGCTAGAGGAAGCGTTTGCTTATTTAAAAGGTGAGCCCTCGCATAATCAAATCTTTCCCTCCCCTTTGTGCCACTTTTCATGTCTACATTTGACTCGATTATCGGCGCTAATTACAGGGAGGACGGCCGCGGATAATCCAAAAGTATCCATTTGCCGTCTATCTCAATGCCAAAACCCACTAGTATAGGTATAAATTACGTTTCAGTTAAGGTTTGCAGTAAATAATCGACCGATTGATGCGCATGCTCAGTGACAGCAGCAGAGCCATGCCAACCAACATTAAACTACACCCACTTGTAAATATGTGCAACTACTGTACTGTAGAGGTGATCACGTGAGTTTTTGATTAACCGGAGCAACACATTTGTTCGGTTTAAGCACGTTACTTGTAATTCACATTTACAAGAATAACAATGTATAATGGTTTATCGATGTTTTTTATTTGTGCTGAAGGGCAAATCCACTAGTTATTAATTTATGTCAAATTCTCAGATGCGCGGTTAATCCGCAAATCGGATAAACCGCACGTGAATAATCGAGAGTCTACTGTATATTGCTCTTTAAATCGCAGGTGTGGGGGTTCATTGGTGGAAGCTTAGCGATGGTTCATCTTTAAGTTAGCAATCATACTTTTTTTGGTAGATTTACTCATTTGTGGAGTTTTTCTAAGTTTATTACAGCATTTAAGCAACATTGTTGGATATTTGAGTTGTGTGTTTTGCTCTTTTGACAGTGGTGTATATGCCACTATTTATTACTTTCACTGTGCTGAGCTGTGGAAATGCTCAATTTTATGCAGACTTCCTTAGTGGCCAGACTTCTGACTTGGTTTAGTCGATATGGGTCTATCAATTCACCCTATTCTGATTCAATACAGTATTGGGCAATGATTCGATTTATGTTCAACATATAGTAATCAAACATTGGTGTGCAAGTCGACCGATGTATCGTAAGCTTCATAATTTGTGTTAATCCATACATTAATGCATTGATACAGCCCGAATAGGCACTCAGTATTACTAACGGAAAGCAGCGGAAAATAAACTGAGAAGGGAAGGGAGGGTTGTGACTGCCACAGCTTGCCAATGTGCTGCCCTTGTCCAGAACCTGAAGATAAGAACCGGGTGCTGCAAAATTTCCATCTCACCATTGTGGAAGCTGCAGCAAGACGGCATGGCCTGGATCCTCACGATCTGCAGGAGCTGCTCATCATGGCCCTTTCTTCAAAATTCAGTGAGTGGTGGCACCCACAGAAGGCCGTCTACAACATTTTATTCGTTGCACAGGGCTTCTCAGTCTGCATACGCACCACGTGACTTGTTTTCACGTGTCCCACCATTTCTCGTTTGTGCATGGAAACACTGGAATTTTTGGACTTGTCCTTTCTTGCTTGAATCTACCTGCTTAAGGGTGTTTAGCCACTGAGCGCCCATATTTTTGGTGCCTCACGCTGAATTAAGGCCATGAGCTGGCGAAAGAGTGGTGCTCAATGTCTGGAGGTAAATGGTGTTTCTGTCTAAGAGCTGACCCCCAAGAGTTTTTCCCAATCCATTTCAATATTAGTAGCATTTGCAGTCTAAAGTCACGAAAAAATTCACGCAACTGATGTTTCCTAAATCGGCTATGCTCTTAAAATGGATGTTTTTGTTGTATAACGCTGGGTCCGGTTTGCGATGGCCCAATAGTTTACGGCGGTCCGATTTATGATGATCCACAGTTACGACATGTATATATGCCACCACTGATCAATTTACAACTGCAGCAACTTGATTTGCGTTGCATCTTCCAACATGACTTCCTGTGTGATTTGGCTATATTATTTGTGGATTTTTACCTTTTAAACCCTGCTAAGTATGGCTGATGAAAGAAAAAAAACATCGGAAAGTGATGTTTCTACTCTTTCTACTGTCTATGGGAAAATCGCGTCCGATTTACGACAATCCAATTTACATCGGGGTTTTCAGGAATGTGTTGTCATAAGAGCGGGTACCCCCTGTGTTAGATCTTTAACTCTGCCAGTAATATATGCATCCTCTTTTCTTTTTACTGTGTTATGAAACCTGTTTTATTGTGACTACACAGAGGGAGAGAGCGAATTGTCGTCTGAAACGTTATCCAGCAAAGGCAACGACATCTCTTCTCAATTCTTGATTGTACTGCTCTGCATTGCCGCCTTCGATTGTTTCAGTAATGTGTCTCAGGAAACAATTGGATGGCCGTTAAAGTGCGTTGAATGTGATTAATTTATATGTACCGTTTGTGTTTTTTTTAGGTCTTGCAGTGAAATTAAAGATGGTGAAATGTCTTATCCCATCATCCGTGGTTTTGGGCAGCACTCCAGCCATTATCATCTCATGGATGTGCACATTAAGCTCCACAAACAACGTGCAGGTGTGTTCTCTAATAGAGTACTCTCTCTATTTTCTCAACTACTTCCCAGAGAGTGACATAACCATAAAATAAAGCTGAATATTATTGGTATTATTTTCCTAACAACACAGTAAACTTTCTAGATTTGATTCTAGATTTGAAGTTTTTGTGACTGCAAGGATCCATACTCTTGGTTCTTTCGGTAAAGTCATGTAGGTAAAGAAAATATATCAATTAAATTCACGCAGCAATATCCTCATTGACTTTATTTCTACTTGAGCAAGAACGTGTGCTATTAATATAGCAAGTTGCATATATTATTTTTTATACAACTTTGCATCTTTTCTCTACATTTCAAAAGAGGAGTGGATACTCTTTGGTTCTATTGGGTAAAGTCACGTAGGTGAAAATAAAATAACAAAAAATCACGACGTTTCGGCCACAACACAAGCGGCCTTCATCAGGTGAAGGGACGAGACTGTCTGGAGGACAGCGCTGGAGTGGAAGAAGCCACGCTTAGATCACGACCTTTAAGCTGTGTGAGAAAAGAAAAATACCACGTGCCTTGACAAAGGAATTAGCATATAATTTGGCATTGAAATGGCTCATTGAAATAGCTAAGTTAAAGTATACACATCCGCAGAGGTACCCCTTGACAAAGGAATTAGCATATAATTTGGCATTGAAATAGCTAAGTTAAAGTATACACATCCGCAGAGGTACCCCTTGACAAAGGAATTAGCATCGAATTTAGCATTGAAATAGCTGAGTGATTAGCTTGTAACTGGTCACAGAAATAGCTATGTTAAAGTTAGAGCATATACATTCACCGAGGCACCTAGTACTCATCAAACAGGAGAATTTAGCGAAACACAACCACGCTCAGACATCGGACCTTTGTCAAGTGGTACCTCTGCGGATGTGTATACTTTAACTTAGCTATTTCAATGCCAAATTATATGCTAATTCATTTGTCAAGCAGCGCAAATTCCTTTGTCAAGGGGTACCTCTGCGGATATGTATACTTTAACTTAGCTATTTCAATGCTAAATTATATGCTAATTCCTTTGTCAAGGCACGTGGTCTTTTTTTCTCACACAGCTTAAAGGTCGTGATCTAAGCGTGGCTTCTTCCACTCCAGCGCTGTCCTCCAGACAGTCTCGTCCCTTCACCTGATGAAGGCCGCTTGTGTTGTGGCCGAAACGTCGTGATTTTTTGTTATTTTATTTTCACCTACGTGACTTTACCCAATAGAACCAAAGAGTATGGATCCTAGCAGTCACGAAAGCTTTAAATCTAGAGGAGTGGATGTCTAATGTTGAGAATTTAATTGCTTTAAATGCACACAATTAGGTACAATTAAAATACTGGATTTATCACCGCGAGAATTGGCGCCAAATTTGTGAAGTGCCAACACCTGGAAAGCGTACGCACATGAAATGTTGAAGTAGAAATTGCGTGGCTTAGTTCGTGCCTCATATGCTAATTATGTTGAAGTCATGGGGTCACGGCTTTGTGCTCCGCACATTCCCAAGACATGGAAGAGCACTTGTGGATGCAAGGGCCGGGCAGTAGGGACACTTTTTTTGAGCGAACACAGAGTGTCACTCAAAAAAGGTGGCAAACAGCTTTGTGTCTCAGATTTGAATTGTTTTCACTCCATACATTAAATTATTTCATACATTGCAAACGAGGTCGGCTTTTTTATTATTTTAGTCATTGCTAGCATAGGTTTTTATATTGACGATTTACGTATTTTTTCATCTGGTTTTTTTCACATAACTTGTATTTGAGTAAACTACTGTTTAAAAAATAATAATCGTATAGTAAGTAAAACTGTGCATTAGTGTGGTGTTCACGTTCAACTTTGGTGTAGAGAGTGTGCTGGAGGGTGCGTGTAACTGCGTGTGTGTGGGGAGCGGTAGTGGAGTGGTTAGCACGCTGCGCTGCGAACCCCGGCGACCCAAGTTCGATTTCCGCTCGCAGCCAACACCTGTGACGATTATCTTAACTGGTACTGGGCCTCCCTTAGGTCTGCTCGGCCTCAAATGAGTACCTGGTGCATTGTGTAAACATCGCCACTAGTTAAACAAAGTCAGCCGGGCAAGGTGCTAGCCATCCACCCCCTTGTGTGCCGTGCCAGCCTTCATATTTGCTCGCTAACAGCACTTTATCCAACAGTCTGTTAAGGCTACACACGGGGGATCTTTGTATTTGTGCCCTTTTCTAGGCATGGCTACTGCGGTGGCTGGTCATGGTGTTTGACCTGATTGAGGAGAAGGAGACACTGCACCTCCTTTATGGGATGATATTCAACTACGTGCGATACGAGAAGCTGGTGAGGAAGCCAAGCGCAGAGCATCTTTTTTTCATCTGTAGGCTTTCTTGACCAATATTAACATTCATAATTGGTTTCTTTTGGGTTAGCGAGCAGGTATAATGCCAATTTGTGACTACAACCCTCGGCCACCCGACAAAGCCAATCAAAGTTGTCACGTGGGCAAAGTGTGCTAATTTTTTTTTAGCAAAACCGGAATGTTGAAAGGTAAGCAAACATTTTGAGATTGTTAATTTTGTTTGCCTTTCATTACTTCGGTTTTGCTAATAACAACTTTATTTGATTGACTTTCCCAGGTGGTGGGTTATAGTTGAACATTGGCATTATACCTACATGCTCTCACCTAAAAATAAAGCAATTATGAATCGCAGTCCAACTCTTCTTATGAATGCAAATATAACATTTCCAGTGATGTAAGTAAGACATTTATTCTGTCCTATAAGGTTTAATATTTTGATCTCTCTTCACATCAAGTATGAATTTAATAATTATGTATCCATAATAGAGGGTTTTTTGTTATAACACCTAAATATGTTTTGTTTTCTAAAAATGTTACGGATCATGTGGTATTTTCCGAAACAGGATTTCTCCAGAGCTCTGGCTGTCATCTGATGATGCTGGTTGTAATTACTGTTGAAACGTTGTACGCGAATTGTAAATGTTGTGGGTTTACTTTCCAACACACCGATGTGCTGTACTAGTAACGATTTGGCATGTTTTGTTTACGTGACAAACCTTACTAATTGGCAGTGTTGGGAGGTGGCGGTTTTAACGATATATTTATACGATCTAACACAAAAACCTCTATTATGAATTATGTTGGTCGTGAAAGCCTACTACTGTTAAATTGATTTTGAATCATTCATTGCTCTGGTTTTTGTGCTTTCAGAGCTCCTATGCATGTCACCTACTGTACCTGCTGACACGCAGAGAAGATGGTGAGTGAGCTTAAAGGGAGGTTTCGACCCAAAACAAACAGCTCTTATTTCAAAGATTTGTAGGAGGCAGTCCTGTCCGACACATTTTAAGTGTCATTAATGAAGAAAATTAAGTGGCTGTCACCTTCAGGAGCACCACTTAACTGATGTAACTACCTGCCAAATGTAAAAATCGCACTGTGGGACATCACTAGAATTCTCCAACTCTAGTGACCCCCAAATACCATTGGTCTTTTTCTCACTAAGTTTCAAGTTTCTATCAGACAGCTGAGAACTCATGTATCTGCATGATAAGAGGAATTTGTCTTTTTGATTGTGTGTTCCTTTAAACTGCCAACTAATGAATAAGTGGTCATTCTGATAAACACTACACCAGTGGTTGCTTAAAGCTGTACCATTAATTTGATGTTCCATTTGTTCCCATGTGCTTTTTAGTTAAACTCTTTCGTGTTCAGTTGCTCCTGTCCATCCACACAAAACTGGTAAGCACTGCTGAGCACTCACACCTAAGCATTATAACAATTCAGCTTAGTAGAGGTTACATTAACATTACATGTGATTTAATTATGGTTATTAAAGTGTATACCCATGGATCAGCATGTACCATTGCCTTTTAGCACAGGGCCAAAGGTTTAATTCCCATTAAAGTTGCATAATGGCTTCTATTTTTAAAAAATAACTAAAGAGCCATCTGCTGTGAAACGAATGTTAAACTGTGATATAATCTCAGGGGTTCATAAAATTAGTACTTTGCAGCAAATCAACAGCAGTCATTGAAAGACACCCTCAACCAGTGGAGATGAACATCGCCCCAACGCTTGTTTTCAGCATGAAGACAATTTAGCGGTAAAAAAAAAGCTTAATCTTATTTTTTCTCAATCATTTGTGCTCTTGTTGTCTTCCAGGGCTTGAAAGACTCTCCGGCTCCTCACTTCATGGGCCTCTTGTCTTTATTCAAGGCCTACTGTCCCACGCTCATGTCCCTCTCACTGCCAACTCGCAGCAGGGTATGTCAACGTACATACGAGACCAGATAATACTTTAATTCCTTGCGCCAGCATCAACTCCCAGCCGTACCTTATGCTGTTCGGCTATAGTATGTGTCGGAGGCAAATGTGATGTGCATCAGGACTACATTTATCTATGCCAGACAGATGAGTGGGTTTAGCAGTCTGATCCAAGTCACATGGCATTGCCAGTGTGATTCCTGCACTACATGTGTAATGTCTACTTGCGGGACTGTTACAATTTATAATGACCGAGGCAACAGATCACTTACCTGACAGGGAGTACTGTATATGCAAACGAACAGTCAGGAAGTCAATCAAGGCCTCTGATTGGTGCAAGGAGGCCTCAAAGACGATCGGTTAGGATAAGCGATTCAAAGGGATTTGAGGATAAATTCAAACGTGGAAGGTAGGAAACGAGGGTTGCCTGTAGGGGAGACGGTTGACAACCATTGGAGAAGGAGGACGGCGATTGGCTGAGGGAAATGGGGCGAAGGAAGCTTCCAGAAAGGGGGCTCAGGGAATATAAACGGGGATAGCGCAGCGGGAGGGGACGCTTGGAGAGTAGATGAAGTTCTTGCCTCAAGAACCGAAGTCTGGGCCTAGGAATATTGTTGTGTCCGAATAAAGGCTCTTAGTAATGAAAAAACCACATGTGTCGGGCATCTTTACAAATTCATACCTCTGCCCATTGTGTCAGTTATCGCATACTGAGGGGACATTATGAAGGTTGAAAGTTCAAATGCCGGTCAGGAATCAACTAAACACATTATACCTTTATGGTGGGACAAACTAAGTATTAGATAATTTTGGTGCTATAAATGTCCAAATGATGGGCTACTTTGTTGAGCTATCATTTGTGGCCAGGTCGCTTCTGAAAAATAAGTTCATACCTCAGTGGGCTTTGCCTGGTAGGATGGGGATGGTTTCTTTTTATTTGTATGTTTTTTTGTGATGTGTTTACCTTTCTTGTACTTTGCACTACTATCATATTTTTGTACTGTTTGTTGTTGTAACCCGCCCCTACTGGACATATGTGAAAATAACAAGCTTTATAACTCAATGGATTCTTCCAGTATAAATGCATATTCTGATTCTGAAGTAACACGTTTTCATAAAATCACCTGCAATTGTCTCGTAAAGAAACGCACCTCTTACTTAGCAATGTGTTATATTTACTGCTGGCTCAGGAATGCCAATAGACATAAGCACCACCCAATGCTTTGATGCTGTTGTTTGACTTTGCTCTCTGTTTTATTTATTGGCAGAAATATTTCCGTAGTGAAGACAAAAACTGGATCGCAAGCCTTAAGCTAGTGCAGAACAAAAACAAAACGACAGCCACACACACTGACTTCCCGACAGCTGGGCTGTACTCCAGTCCGCCCGCTCAAAAGGTGACCTTTTGTTGCTTTCATACCACATTGCACTCTGCGACTACCCAAGCTTCTGGCTTTTTCTTGGAACTGTTTTAAGAGTCCAGGCTTCTGCTGACTTCTGTGGTTTAACGCGTTTGATTAGCAATGCTCTGTTTTTGTCTGCAATATTTGGTGATTAGGTTGAGATAATTACCTTGCCTCATTTGATCAAGGAGCTAATCCTTCATGATGAACCCATTATCTCGTTACCATGTTGTAGATACTAATGCCCTGCTCGTGGTTGCTCTCCTATATGTATGTATGTATGTTCAACTTCTTTAGTATGTAGCCAACTGCTAATCGGAGGTGCATAATCGTGGCTGCTCTTCTTTGTCATATCTGAGGAGGGAAAGTGGGATGAGCGGCGTTTACCTTGATTTGTTGACCCTGTGCTTAGCAGGCTGTGGGGAGGAAACGTACTCGCACCGGAGCCATCCCTGACTTGGCCAGCTCAGAGCTCACCAGCACCAACAGATACCAGATGGATGACGGCACAAGTGCAGATAACGCCCCAACATCATGTCTGCTCATCAGGACCCTGCCGGACCTTCTCAACAACATTCACAATCTGGAGGTCAGCACCTATAGAAAACGACAGTTTATTTATTTATTTTCTCCCATTGTATTACAACGTTGAGAAAATAAAGTGGGCTTGGGTTGGGCTGATGGTCAAAAATAACGATGGATTAGCACCAAGGGGTGGAACGCTTCTGAGCTAACATCCACCAAGGAGATGAAGCAATTAATTTGGTTTGTGTGATGGTGCTAGGTAGATCCTTACATTACAGGATCATGAGATATGGTGGCAGCGAGGGGATGCTGTGGGTTGATCAAGGTTGATTATGACCCTCTATTACAGATCTGCTGTTGGCATTTTTGCAGGGTAAAATACTTTCTGGAACTCCCTTAAACTGCAAAGTCACATGTTTGAAATTATCCAGAAGTAAAAATACTGACATTTTCACTTCTGCATTATTTCAAGTATGTAAAGCCTTAACCTGATATCCTCACAGGTTATATTTACCACATTTTTGACTCAATTAGGGTGTTCTCATCTTTGAGTTATTTATTCTGCACAAATGTAGGCTAAGTTACAGTTAAAACAATTTTTTTTGTGAAGTCTTAGGTGATCGGTTGAGGAGCATTTGCCAAACTTGATTACTTTGTCCATTCATTGGTGGTTGGTTGTCTCTATGGGGAGACTTGCTCCTGCCCAAAACAATCTGAAATTTCCACTACTGATGAAGGGTTTCCATTTCAGAAAGCACTACCTTAGGAAATTCCTAATCAAGTCACGTTTGACTGACTTTAAATTTCCATAATCTACAGAAATATGTTTTTGCCCCCTTTGTCAATGCACTGCCGAATTAAAGATCTTAAAGCTGTCTTGCTCATCTGCTTTGTTTGGCTTTACCTCACCACGCAGGTCAGTGTGGGTTAGTGAATATGGAGGGGCATGTATGAGTCAGCCTTCTCTCGCCACCGATGCTAACTTTGACCGTGAAACAAACTCAGGTCGACGGGTTCATAAAACAGTGTGCTAACCACTTTGCCACCGCTTCTCCTTTGTAAAAAAATATTTGTATCCTTGAAACGGAGAAGATGTATGTTATAATTACTACCTCTTGCTATTGGTTTGTGGAGGCATTTTATCTTCTCTTGATGATCGTGTGACGGCTCGTTCCACAGTTCCCAGCACAAATGGCCTCTGTGCTGTCGTCCGACATTCTCATTTCCTTCCTGAGCTGTGCCATGGACCCCGTATCCCAGAACCGCATTGACTTCTGGCTCTCAAACACCCTGGAGGAAGGTATGGCTCCTGCGAGTAGTACTGCGTGACTGGGCGTGTGCCTTCAACTCATGTCCACCACACTGATTATTCACCTTTTTGCAATGCCATTACACATAAAGCTGGAAGGGTGTAGCCCTGCTAATTATTGATCACACCACTGCTGGCAGAAGGGTGCGTCCACAAGAGCCAGCTCCAGAGGCCATAAGGCGTACTATTCCAAGCTGACCAAAGATCCTAGAAGAAGTCGAAATACCCTCAATACAATACAGTTTGAATGTATAAGCACAGATTGAAAGCACTGCCACAGTTTATAGTAACAGCTATGAGGAAGCATTGTTAAGTAGAAACAATACAATATGATGTAATCTTTGTTTGCCAAATCATGTCTCGGAATAATTCGAGATAGGTTATTACACGCTTTCTATTAACTCACTCTGTCTGTTGTTGTTGTATCCTCAAATCTTGTAACTAAATTTTAACCCACTTCCCAATGTGGTATTGACTGCAAACTTGGTATACTTATGTCATACTGATGACAATACTATATTCTATCATAAAAAATGAAAGAAAAATATTTTTAACCAATTTTTTTATATGTTATGTTTCGCCTTGTCTCTAATTGTTCACGCTCAACTAATGTTGGCTGTAAATCACCACGGTAACCTTGAGTTATGGCAAGCTTCGGGGCCACTTCCTGGGGTCGTGGAGGTCTTCCATGACTAGTAGGGTACATTTCATTAAAGCGTGTTTTTAAAGTTTTTTTAAATATTACTTGCTTTTTTTCTTTGATGTTTTTCTGAAATAACCGAATGGAAGTGATTGTTGGACATTGTGAGATTCAATCCCAGTCATATTGATGCCCCTGAAATTTTGTTTTTTACACATTTCAAAGGATTCACGATTCAATTATTGTGTACTCATGGCAGAGTTTCTCTACTGTGAGGAGGAGGACACAGAGGACACCCTGCAGCACAAGGCAGAATTCCTGAACCGCATAGTTCACACGCAGGAGATGCTTAAGGTACACATCTCGCAGGCCTCTCCAGACCCTCACCGTGTCCCTGTTACAGCGCCTAGCTGTTCTTGGGCTAAAAGAGACTCACACTCCATACACAGTAATGGTGGCAAAGACTTACACCGAGGTAAATATCCCCATGTAGAAAGCACAGATATAAGTGGAATGGCCATGGAAACGTGAAAGGTTGGGGTATAAATATCAAAATTCGAAGTATCTCCCCCCCCCCCCCCACTTTGTGGAGGCCCTGAGCCAGTGGTAAAAGATTTGCTTTCTTTGAGGAGACCATTTGAGTTCCTGAAGAAGCTGTCGGCACGTGGAGTGAAACATCGGACATCAAGCTGAACAACGCCCGAAACACACACCTGAGAAATATACAACAGCACAGCCGCGAAAACATATGCAGGAGGTCACTTTTATCTCTTGAAATATCTTGCACGGTCTGAGAAACCCACTTGCTGTCTATCGGAAAATTTCAGTCTGTAAAAAACCCACTTGCGCTCAGCTTCCTACAGGCATTGGTTTTCCCAGCAGCCTGATGCAAATGAAGGCTCCAATGGCGAAGCCAGGATTTTCAGGTAGGGGGGGCAACCCCTCCAGCAATGAAAAATGATAGGAGTTGTTAGTAAGTAAGGACTTGTCCCTTGCTTTTTATTCGATGCGTGTGCGGCGATGGCGCAGCCATCGATCGAGGGTCGAATTCGAACCGTGTGTGAGCAGCATCGCGCTCGCTGAAGGTATGCCTTCAGCGAAGTCGTGTACTATATACGCAACTGCGCACAATTCTGTGAGTCACTTATAACTGCTTTGCTGTTACTTATTGCCAATTATAGACTCATACTATTGTCCTATCATCTCATAGAGTTCCTGGCACGTAATAATATAATTCCGATTTATTACTAACTAGCTTTACTACCCGGCTTCGCCCGAGACTTGAATTCTTGTATTGGATGAATACACGGCCTACACGGAGGGTGGGGGGATGCGTGACGTCAGCAGGCACACTGCGTGACGCTGCCACATGCAGGTGACGTGTGCCACCCCCCCCACCCCCCCCACTGGCTCTGCCAGTGGAAGGCTCCATCTTGTTGTGACCCATTAACTCCTCTTACATGTTGCTGGATTCCAGAGTCTTTACGAAATCCTGCCCGTCTAGTGGGGTAGCCAATGCATAAAACATTAAGGCTATACAGGGCTGCCCCAATGTGTATCACATATACTACTAAAATAAGGGATATATTGGGTATCATGCTGCAATATTATGTGTTTATTATATCGCATTTTGATTTTAGATTTGGAAAATATTGATATTTATAAAGCCTGACTCATGGAGACAAAGCATCTGACACATTACGTGCTTCTAATAACAAAATAAAGCAGTTATTTTCATCCCACAAAGTTGAAAATGTGCTAAGATATTTACATTAGTTTGTTGTTCACATGTTCACTTTGGTTCAATGAAGGTATGATGGCATCGCCTATAACTTTCTCAAACTCGCAACTCCTTACAGTGCAGCCTCCATGTTTACCATCCATCAGATGCCAGTAACATCTGGCCACTTTGCATTTGAATGGAAGAGATTGGTAAACTTGGGATGCGAATAATAGAGTTAAAAAAACACGGACCTATAATATGAAGCTTTTTTTTTACATACTGGGATTAAAAAAAAACTTGAAGCTCTGATGCGTTAAGATGCCCTTGCGTGTTAAGCATTTCTGGTCTGTGCATTGTATTTAAGGTAAGTCTGCTCGGCTTACCTTATTTGTCAAGTAAGTTGGTGCCAAGTGAGTTATTGTAATTGTGATATGTTTTGTGACTTCTGCAAGTGCAGTTTCTTGTACCTCAAGGTTATTAGGTTATGTATTTGCCTACTTCTGGATTAATCTGAAACATCCACTGCTGTGTGTGTCAGAATCTTTATTTAGACTTTGTATGTACAGTGCCATATCTGCTCTCACGAGTGCTGTCTTCCTGCGCAGGAGGGTTTCTCGAGTGTCTCCTACTTCCTGACATCGTGGCTGTCGGTCTGGGACGGTGAGACTTTACGGCCACAGACGCTAAAGCTTCTCACCCGTCTGAACCTGCAGGACAGCAGTGGTACGGTAACAACAATACAATTTGTAAAGCACACAATAGTTCACAGGCAAATTACTAACTGAGGTGCGGAGCTAAACTCAGTGTCACTCGAAAGCTAAGCGGAAGAGTTGGCCCATTTAGATAGGTGGGCCTGTAAGAGTCTCTTAAAAGTATAGTAGACGATCGATTAGTTATCCGCGCTAATGAGGATGGCTGCGGATAATTCAAAATCCCAGATAATCCGAGAAATATCTTTTCCGAGGATCTCTATGCCAAAAACCACTAATATCGGTATAATTATGTTTCAGTTAAGAAAATAGAGTTTGTTAATGAACAAAACAAAAATTTGTAATAAAGAATGTATTATGCTCAGTGATAGCACTTTCCTGCTCCCATGCAGAAGGCTCGGCTCACTAAGTGGATAGCAGCCACGCCAATCAACATCAATCAAACTCTGCCCACTGTTGTAAAGATACAGTGAGGGAAAAAAGTATTTGATCCCCTGCTGATTTTGTACGTTTGCCCACTGACAAAGAAATGATCAGTCTATAATTTTAATGGTAGGTTTATTTGAACAGTGAGAGACAGAATAACAACAACAAGAAAATCCAGAAAAACGCATGTAAAAAATGTCATAAGTTGACTTGCATTTTAATGAGGGAAATAAGTATTTGACCCCCTCTCAATCAGAAAGATTTCTGGCTCCCAGGTATCTTTTATACAGGTAACGAGCTGAGATTATGAGCACACTCTTAAAGGGAGTGCTCCTAATCTCAGCTTGTTACCTGTATAAGACACCTGTCCACAGAAGCAATAAATCAATCAGATTCCAAACTCTCCACCATGGCCACGACCAAAGAGCTCTCCAAGGGACAAGATTGTAGACCTACACAAGGTTGGAATGGGCTACAAGACCATTGCCAGGCAGCTTGGTGAGAAGGTGACAACGGTTGGTGCGATTATTCGCAAATGGAAGAAACAAATAAGAACTGTCAATCTCCCTCGGCCTGGGGCTCCATGCAAGATCTGACCTCGTGGAGTTGCAATGATGATGAGAACAGTGAGGAATCACCCCAGAACTACACGGGAGGATCTTGTCAATGATCTCAAGGCAGCTGGGACCATAGTCACCAATAAAACAATTGGTAACACACTATGCCGTGAAGGACTGAAATCCTGCAGCGCCCGCAAGGTTCCCCTGCTCAAGAAAGCACATATACATGCCCGTCTGAAGTTTGCCAATGCATATCTGAATGATTCAGAGGACAACTGGGTGAAAGTGTTGTGGTCAGATGAGACCAAAATGGAGCTCTTTGGCATCAACTCAACTCGCCGTGTTTGGAGGAGAAATGCTGCCGATGACCCCATGAACACCATCCCCACCGTCAAACATGGAGGTGGAAACATTATGCTTTGGGGGTGTTTTTCTGCTAAGGGGACAGGACAACTTCACCTCATCAGAGGGACGATGGACGGGGCCATGCACCGTCAAATCTTGGGCAAGAACCTCCTTCCCTCAGCCAGGGCATTGAAAATGGGTCGTGGATGGGTATTCCAGCATGACAATGACCCAAAAACACACGGCCAAGGCAACAAATGAGTGGCTCAAGAAGAAGCACATTAAGGTCCTGGAGTGGTCTAGCCAGTCTCCAGACCTTAATCCCATAGAAAAATTGTGGAGGGAGCTGAAGGTTCGAGTTGCCAAACGTCAGCCTCGAAACCTTAATGACTTGGAGAAGATCTGCAAAGAGAAGTGGGACAAAATCTCTTCTGAGATGTGTGCAAACCTGGTGGCCAACTACAAGAAACGTCTGACCTCTGTGATTGCCAACAAGGGTTTTGCCACCAAGTACTAAGTCATGTTTTGCAGAGGGGTCAAATACTTATTTCCCTCATTAAAATGCAAATCAATTTATAACATTTTTGACATGCGTTTTTCTGGATTTTTGTTGTTATTCTGTCTCTCACTGTTCAAATAAACCTACCATTAAAATTATAGACTGATCATTTCTTTGTCAGTGGGCAAACGTACACAATCAGCAGGGGATCAAATACTTTTTTCCCTCACTGTATGCAACTACTGCACTGTAGAGGCGATCACGTGGATTTTGGATTAACCGGAGCACATATTTGTTCGGTTTAAGCACGTGACATGTAATACACATTTACAAGAATAACAATATATAACTATTTTTAGATTATTAATTTGGGCCTAGGGGGAAATCCATTAGTTATTAATTTATATCAAAACCTAGTCCGCATATCTTTTAAACCACACGCAAATAATCCGGAGTCTACTGTAGGTGTTGATTGAATGTTGCTGCAAATGTGTAGCAGGATGGCATTCCAGATTGCAGAGGCTGCCACAGAGAAATGAGATCCGGCAGTGATAGTCCTTGTACTTCTTATAAGTCACTTGCGCTCACACTTCAGCTATATAACTAAGCCTTCAACTAACCACTTGTTCAGAAATTGAAAAAGGTCCCCAGAGCGTGAAGCAAAATGTCACAAATGCTGAACAACATTTCTGCCCTGAGCCAGTGGTGCAATTTGTAAATTTGCATGCTAGAGGCCATTTTCTTTATGGAATGAAAAATGGTTAAGTCTTTACAAAGTCGTACTAATGTTATTGTGCATAGAATTGATAGACGCATTTGACCCCTGGACAATACAAATTTGCAACTTTGTAGTTTTAAGTCGAGCACTTTGACCACAGCGCCACCCAAATGGACAGGGTGACTCGGGTTAAATTGGAATTTGTAAAATACTACAACCAATGGAATGATTAAACTAATAATCTATTGATTCATTAACAAGATGGGTAACTGTTTCATTTTAACACGTAGGTTTTCGCGACCAATATTGTTCATGATAAACGTTTTTGGGTTAGATCGCGTTATTTATAAATATGTCATAACCCTCCACCACCCGCCACGGCCAATCAGTAAAAAATTGTCACGTTGACAAAAGACATAGTTCACTACTTTAGCCCACCGGTGTGAAGAGGGGCTAAAGTAGTGAACTATTTGTTTTTTGTCAACGTGACACTTTTTTACTGATTGGCCGTTTCGGGTGTTGGAGGGTTACGACACATTTATAAATAACGCGATCTAACCCAAAAACGTTTATTTTAACTGTTTCATGTAGAAAATGAAATTATATGCTTGGCATTGACACTTTTTAGACACGACTTAAAAGCTAATGGAGTTGACTGAGCTGGGTGGACTTTTGTTTTTATACTAGACTGGTTCACACTGAATCCAAAGAAAAATCTGGAGATGCTTCTCCCATTAGAAATCTTAATTAAAATGTCTGTTGGTCATATAAGGACATTTAAGGTTTTACCGGTTTATGTAACCCTAACTGATCGCATTAATTTTCAGGAAAGCATTCAATGGGGCGGAGCACTCTGTCGTCAGTGGGGTGTTAGGATGCTGAAAGCCTTGCCAGTGGTGGGGCATGTGACGCACCCACTCAGTTAATGAGTACGGGTGCCAGCGCCTTGCATCCCTAAACTTGAGAATTCACAGGAAGGTATGGCGCCTCCGATTGCCAGCTCCTCAGATCGTTATCTCTTATCATGATGCGCCTGGACTAATGGGTCTTTCAATAGAAGTGTTCGGGGGCCCTCTGCCCCTTGAACGTATCCCAGGTGTGTCGCAGTACACTGAAGTTTGGTGACTTGGAGTTGGTGAACCATATATAGATGTGTACGTTTGTTCACGTAGCCAACTGCTTATCGGAGGTGCGATAGATGGAGCCAATGTATGTGTGCGAATGCCTCTGCTGCGAATGAAAAGGCATAGAAGGGGGAGTACGACATGTTTTCCTACATGTCTGTGTGAGGCAGCATTGTTGTGTTTCATGTACAATTGTTTCTGCATCTGAGTGATTTTTTTGGCGCATGACCACACGGTGTTTGTTATTATTGTGCACTTAGAGCTGTACGAGTGTTTCCTGAAGCCTCTGACCCTGACGTTCATCTCTTCATGTGTCTACTTCAAGGTAAGTTAATAGCCATTGCTGTATTACACTATCAGCCACACATTTACACGTGTGCTTAGTCCAGCATATTTTTAGTCTCACCACAGTAACAAAAAAATTAAGAAAACGACATTTGGAATCTTGACACGTTATTCAGCAAGCAGGACCCTCACGGAAATGATTAACACGTATCTAAAACGTTCCCAGATAAATAAAATACATTAGAGTTTTTTTCTACTCAATTCTTGTATGATATGGCTTCGTAGACTATGAACAGAAATTTCACGTAAAATGTGCTCGGCACTGAAGTCCCATTTATTTGGAAACTCAAATTGGCTGCCAAGTACAATGTTAATATTGTACTAATCTTTCCATTGATGTTTTTCTGCAGCAAGAAATGAGTGGAGAGTGCTGCCTGGCAGCTACTTTAATAAGTTCCATCAACACACGGTTGGCTATAAATAACAGCATCAGTCAGGTTCTGGGAAACATGTTTTATTTAAGCTCCTGATGTCTTGGGATAAAAAGCATGAATGTTCAAAGCAAATACCCATTAAAATATTTATTTACAAAACTCTGTGGTGAGTATTATTTAATAATACAGTTATCTGCCATAATTTCCAACATATTCATTAAAACATTTCAGCGTATAATTTAATGGAAATTAGAATTCCAGTAAGGGTTGTCAGAGTTGCCCGGTTTTTGTTTTAATTGACCATGGTTACTTATCTTCCTCAGTGGGTCAATGTGTGCATTCAGATTGCTGCCAGAGACAGAGGTTTTCAGATTGGAGTTTCGATTTCTTGAGAGTGGGGCAAGCCAGAGGATGTCATTTAACATGTGGGCTTTCGTGACCAATATTATCCATAATCGAGGGTTTTGGGTTAGATCGCGTAAATATAAATATATCGTTAAAGCCGTCGCTTGAAGAAACCTTGGAGGTAGTCGCTCCGTGGTGTCCGCTTCCCTGGACTTTCTCGAAAGCGGAACGGTCGCACTGCTCTGAGAGTTTTCGAATGGATTCTTCGCTTCACGACGCGATGCTTATAGCATGACGGGGATAACTTGAGGTGTATTTTATTCCAAACTCGCTATACTATGAGCCATCATAGATTTTTTGGTTTGGCCAGGTGGCGATAAGAGCAAATCTAGCAATTATATAAGTGCTGTAGCTGTAATAGGGACTTTTTGGGTTAGATCGCATTAATATAAATATATCTAATCATTAGACCTCCTTTGCCAGTACCAAAATGTAATAATAGGGTTTTGTCCCCTTTCTTCTGGCAACAAAACTGAAACCTTTTTACAAGGATTCATGTCTGCATTAACCACAATACCTGCAGTCAAAACGCAAACAAAAAAATACTATGATAATATATTGGGTCGAGGCTCAAAAGAAAGCCGTCCCTTGGTGTGGACCAAGGGACGGCTTTCAAGGACAATGCATATATTATCATAGTATGTTTTTTTTTGCATTTTGACTGCAGGTATTGTGGTTAATGCAGACATGAATCCTTGTAAAAAGGTTTCAGTTTTGTTGCCAGAAAAAAGGGGAAAAACCCTATTATTATAAATATATCGTTAAACCCGTCACCACCCGACACAGCCAATTAGTAAGCACACTGGTGTGTTGAAGAGTAAACTCACAACATTTACAATTCGAGTACTGTGACGTTTTGCCAGTAATTACAACCAGCATCGTCATGCGACAGCTAGAGTTGTGGAGAAATTATCCTGTTTCGGAGGTTACCACATGATCTGTAATATTTTTAGAAAGCCTCTGACTCAAAACTAATTTAGCCGTTAATTACCATAAAAATAACAATATATTTGTAAGCAGTTTATTAATTTAAATGCACAATCGGGTAGCGGATACTTGTATTTTGCTGTGGCTTAGACAAACTTATAAGTGGTGGCAAACAAACACGATTTCTTTACACAGAGTTTGTAAACAGCTCGAGTTGGCTCTTGCTGGATGCGCGGTTCACTGCTGACCAGTGAGTGAGGCTCTGGGCGAGTGATGAGTTGCCACCGTTTCCCTGCAGTGCGCCATCATAGAGAGCCTTCACCGGCTGCTCATCAATCTGCTGATGGCCAAGCAGACGCAAGCGGAGACGGAGGTCAACGCTGTTGGCCTGACAGAGCAGCCTACCTTGTAAGCCTTATTTGCAGTTTATTACACTTACAGACACTTTATTTTTGTTGAGAACCTTTTTGTAGAAAAATGGGTGACAATAGTAATTATCTCAAACACAGATGAGAACTTCAGCGTATCTGCTTTGCATGTATACTGCATACCAGTGTGGTACACATGTAAGGGATGAGATAAATGCTGTACTTAATTGAGAGAAAAGTACTGCTATGCCGTCTCATCTGTAATTGTGGTTTATATAGCCAGCTCTCCCAGGTCAGGTCACACCTTGTCAAAAAACAAACTTGCCTTTTAGAAGAGTTTTTTCAGTTTAGATTTTTCACGTATTGCTTATCTTTACAGGACTACTTTTGTTTTTGAGTCATGTGGAATGAACAGAAATCTCTATTCAGCCATTAATATTATGCCCTATTTCTCATAATTTTACATGTTTAATATACATCTGATCATAAACCCTTGATGGCACGTGTTTGTGCACTTTTGTATAGGGATACGTGGCAATAAATAATGCATTCTTGCCTCACTCTCCAGGGCCAATGGTGAATTTAACACCAGGCATGCCATCCACCAGCTGGTGAATTTCATCAGTGAACTGGCCACAGCTGCCCTCCAGCAGGAGATGTCCAACTGCCTGCTCATGCACTGCATTCTCGACTTCTACCAGACGGTATGTCAATGTGTCAAGAGCTTCATTTTGAGCCAAGTGGGATCCCACTGAGACACCAAGTCTCGTTCCAGGAAAATGTGGCGAGTTGCTGATGAACCTTGGGTGTAACACTTAGTTTGTTATTTAAAGCAGTGTAAATTGAGGGTAAATTCACCTTTGGTGTATTATGTAACTGACCACTGGGAGAGTATTGTTGCTGATAAAGAATGGAAAGCCGTCTGTAGCATACAGTATTTGAATGTCCACTTGACAAGTCTTGTGAATTAAACTTGCCCATTTTTCTGAGCAACTCTATTCTTAAGCCATTGCTAAGGGCAAGGGTGTTAAACCCAGTACTCACTGGGTAGCCAATATAATGGGCAAGAGACATCCACAAACAATGCTGGGCCAAAAATGATGTGCTGGCTGTACTGTAAACGAACCAGCACTTCTAGGATGCCATTGATTCCATAAGGTGTGCTGTTAAATGGATGAAATGTTATTTTAAATGCCATTCTTTCTATTTCCCACAAGTCATTATAGTGTTCCAACCTTTGCGTAGCACACTGACAGAATACTCACAATCAGAAGTTGAATATCGATTTAAAGCTTTCGTGTCTGCAAGGATTCATCTTCTTTGGTTCTTTCGGTAAAGTCACGTAGAATGAGAATAAAATAATAAAGTGATAAAATAAAATAACACAATAATATTCTCACGACGTTTCGGCCGCTTGTGTTGTGGCCGAAACGTCGTGAGGATATTATTGTGTTATTTTATTTTATCAATTTATTATTTTATTCTCATTCTACGTGACTTTACCGAAAGAACCAAAGAAGATGAATCAGAAGTTGCTCCAACAAATGTTACTTTGTGGAAATTCAGCAGTGGTCCTATGAAAGTACTGGCCTCTGAGCAATGTGGAATTTTCACTGCTGGATTGGGGTCATTAATGGACATGAATATTGCCGTGTGCTCATTTGGCGCTTTACTTGATGTGCATAACGATGGTAATGTTATTGGCGGTAATTGGACCATGAGCCCATTATAGTGTCGGAGTGTAGTACAACATAGCACTTCTACCCTACATACTGGTTTGTATTGTCACTTGTGGTCAACGGTACAGTAAATTACGGGTTAATTGAAAATAATAGACTTTTTTTATTGTCACTGAAGAGAAAAGGAATATCTCGACGTTGCAGTCAACTGTTGGCTGAAATATTTGCTCTTTGTCATAGAAACAGCGACTTTATAACCTTATTGTAGAAGTTATCCCTCCACCCATAATGCAGCCAATATCAGGAAGTGTTTATGTTGGGTGTCGCGGTGTGTCCGTGGCCTTGCGAGTCACGGCGTGTTCTTGCATGCCGTGTCGCAGCATCGCGGCTTGGATGTTTCGTGTTGTGATGTCTTGGTTTGTGACCCTTGAAGGTGGCGAAGGTTTACAACATCGGCAATCTGCCCGTGGTGCTGGTGGCGCCTCAGAGCGTGGTTTACCCTGCCTTCCTGAGCGCGGACCATTCCACTCTGGATCGCCTTTGCCACCTCCTCTGCAGGTATGTAACAACTTGGAGTCACCTCTGGGAATTACATTACAGTTCACATCAACATATGCTCGGGAGCCTTAATGCTGTACCATTCGGAGCTCTGAGCCAGCAACTCTAAGGTGCTGGGTTCATATACAGGCATCTGAATGAGATTAATCCAGTTGTCATTTGTGAAGTGGGTTTAGGATTTCAGCTCAGTTGCCAATGACTTAATTTGGTATGTCTTGTTCCAATGCTTGTACATCAGATAGAGATTGTGGTAAGATAGGTATCTGAAGGCAAAGGCCCGTGATATTGTTTCTAAGTAATTTTACAATTTGAATTACATGCATTTGTGTGTAGAGAATTCTAGAAAATAAAACATTACTCTGAACTTTATGGCAGACTTCTAACATATCTATGAATAATGTAAATAACTTGTCCATGCGAAATTTGTTGGTAAATTTACATTAATTGCTGATATTTAAAAGCGTACATGTTTGTCCATTCAGCTTCTTTGGGGTCAAGAGAAGATCTTGATTTGAAGCTTTCGTGACTGCCGGAATCCATACTCTTTGGTTCTTTCAGTAAAGTCGCGTAGTTAGAAATAAAATAAAATAAATCACGACGTTTCCATAGAAACACAAGCGGTCGTCATCAGGCAAAGGCAAAGGCCTGATGACGACCGCTTGTATTGCGATCGAAACGTCGTGATTTGTTTTATTTTATTTTAAACTACGTGACTTTACCGAAATAACCAAAGAGTATGTCAAGAGAATACTTTTAATGCAAGAGAAACCTGGAGTACAGAGAATAAATACAACACACCGCATAAACAAGAAGGAAATGTACTGATATAAACTGAAAGTGAAAATTAAAACGAAGGTTTAATACAGTACCGTAATAAACTTGGCTTTATTGTTTTTGACAGTTATCGGAAAGTCATCACAGAGCTCAAGACAGTCAAGTCATTGACGGTAATTATGTTCGTGTTGTTTTTGTTTCATCCTGGGAATAATTATGAACCAATTGATGGTACCACTTTCCCCACGAATACAGTTATATAGCCACGTGCTTGAAATTAAACGTAGGCAAAATACTCATTGCCCCTTTGGTGTACAGTAGACCAATGCCTTATACCTCGTCCACCACATACACTTATGCCGACATCATGTCTCTTGCGTCTGTTGCCACAGACAAAAGGGGCGGGGGGGTGTTTGGTGCTGCATGGGTGCCATTGTGGTTTGCCCCCTCTTACGCCCCCCCCCCTCCTACTCAGAGGCAGGACTTCATCTGGAAAAAGGAGAGCATCAAGGCGTACAACGAATACGTGATGTGCATCATCAGCTGCCTGTGGAAGAGCTGTGCCTTTTCAGGCGACAGCACGTTTGGTAGGTTTGTGAACAAGAGGCATTTCGAGGGCGAGCCCAGTTACATCGGCGAGCCCGGTCACAACTGCGGCTACAGCCTGATATACCACCCCGCGCTGCTGGGCATGGCTCTACGCTTTATCGCACAGGTGGGTGTGTGTGGGTGTGACTTAAGAGACTCCAGCTGAGTTAAAAATGAACGATGCTATGACTCTGCACACTACCTTGACTGTTGGAATGTTTCAAAAATCATTCATTCTTTAATAATTCATGAAAGTAATGACAGCCCATCATCCATTCCCCGCTGGATGAAGGCCTCGCCACTCTGTGCTGCCTGGTGGGGTTGTTTCACCATTCTTTACTACACCTGCTAAGTTGGGGGTTGGTGAAGGAAGGGCCCAAGGACCCAGTTGGGTATCTACACAAATAAACTTTTTGTGCACATTTATTCTTAGCACTTGACAGAAATGACATGGTCTCTTTATTACTTGTGTAGTGGATTCGAATTAGGTGCACACACAACTCCTTGGGAGGCAACATTTATTTATTAATGAACACAACAGTTAACTCTTACATTACGCATAGGGTGGTGACCACCGACCTACTCTAGCTAACACACATTTCTCAGATACTCTAGCGTGACCTAGCCAGGTGGGCTACTGGCAGGTCCGTTGACTGGAGGCTTGACTCTTCTTGGCGTCTTCACGATGCATCTTCATTCTTGATACGGGCAGCCTCGAACCTCGTGAGGAGGCTGCTTATATGGGCCTCGGCGTGCCCGGGCCCCGCCCCGGCCACGCCTCCCTTCGAGAACCCTCTCGAAGCCCCCCTGCTGTCCACGTGCCCCCCGAGGTGCCCCCTAGGCCCCCGGCCCCCCACTGGGGTCCAGTCACATGTCCAGCCGGGGTCACAGAGAGTGCCACGACCTCACACCACCCTCGTGGCCTCCCGAGTCCAGAACCGGCCCTGACGTCATTCCCGCCTCCAGCCGGGATGACGTCATGTGTGTGTGTGTAGACCCGCGTGGTCTCCCGCATAGTGACGTCACACGTGTGCGTGTGTACACAGTAGTGATAGTACCATCACTACACTTGCACAATGCTATATTTGTGTACAACTGAACAGTCGTTCTATTACAGTGTTGCTTAGTTTAATTGATGTATATGTCATTTTTTTAACTATTTGCAGGAGATCTGGCTGTGGCTACACAGGAGATGTTTTGTTCACTATTCAGCTTTTCCTTTTTGGGGTTTGGACATCAATCATATCTTGTCAATGATGTGCCAGGGACTTTAATATCCATGTTATAGCGATAAGTAGGACACTTTGGTGATTCCATGCAGATGCCATGGCAGTGTTAGAACGGTTGAGGGGTCAAACAACATTGCGATTAAAATATTAAAAAGAGCACACCATAGGGTGCACGCTTTACCGTCCTCTCTCTCCCCCCTTGGACAGAGCTAATTGAAATGTTTAACCTCGAAGAAAAAAACTTCAATCAACATTTCATTGCATTGAGAAACATACACTAGACTTCACCTCCCTCCCGCTTATTGTGAGGTTCATACTCATCAACCGGGTGAAATACACTGGGGGCTGCGAGCCACACGGATGCCCGAGTGCTGTGTGATACTGTGAATTAATTAAATGTTTTCTTCACAGAATGAGATGCTTGTGGACCCATCTGCTCTTATTCAGAGACTCCACAAGATTAAAGTGAGCAGTTCCACGCCATGCACTCTCTATCCCTCTCTCAATAAACCTCAGTACTTTATGCTCATTATCGCTTTGGTCTTTCCACTCGCGTCAAATGACACATTGGAATGCGAAAAAATATATTGAGCCATGCTGTATTTTTATTAAATCCATGCTGCAATTAAATCTGTCAAAAACCAACACAATAAATATTAAATGTCTCAATGTGACACGATGCAAAATAAATACGGCCCACAGTGGGCCAAGACATTTTATACAGTTTCAACAATCGGCCTTGTAATGTCAAATAACTCTTTCAGGCAGGACCAATTTGTGTTTTCATAGAAACATAATAAAGAGCATGTGTATGCTTAAAACAGCCTATTTGAGCTGGATGCATAAATAAGAAAAGTGTGGTCTCCCAAGGTGTTGTGGTGGCAGACCAATGTGGCAGCTGGGTCTCCGTGTCACTCTTGAGAGATCACTCAGCACAGTGTAGTCCAGCTACTCCACTTCTACAAGATAATGGCCCAGGGCATCTTCTGCAGCTGTTCACTGATGTAGTACAAGAGGGCATTCCTTACTCACCTTATGACGTGGCCCACAAATTGGATCACATTTGGTGAAACAAATTGAAATGTTTCATAATCTTTACTTGGTAGAGCCCGAGTGAATTCTCATACCCTTAGTGGGGAAGAGTCTTCCTTGGGATTTTGCTAAAATTAAATCTTCCACTAGAATTCATGGTGAGATATATAGAGTTCTGTTTTTCTTTCTTTTTCCTGCATAACCAAATAATTTCCATTTGTGCTCTTATGTCATAAATGAACGACATTTATGTTTTATCTATGGGGCCATTTGGTTGATAAAAAGATTTTTTCCTTTATGGCATAAATACAGGAGGTGTTAAGATGTTTAAACACCAAATATATACCTATTGCACGGCGTGAAGTCTGTATTAACCGCACATACTTGTGGCAAAAAATGCAAAAAAAAATGCTTTGATAATAATGTATGTATTAAATTTTGATTTAAAGCTTTCGTGACTGCAGTGATTCATATTATTGGTTCTTTCGGTAAAGTCACATTGAAGGGAAACAATAAAATAATAAAATATATAAAACAATTAAATTCTCACGACATTTCGACTGCAACACAATCAGTCATCATCAGGTGTGAAAACCAACGACAAGAACATTTGAAAGAAGTGGCGGTTTGCATTTATTTATTTTTAAACTTTAGCACCACGGATAGCGATTTGACAGTTTGTTTAGATGGACGAGTCCATCTATGTTCGGAAAAGAGGAGGGGGGAGACGAAAAATTAATGTATGTTGTCTGAAAGCCACCGTAAGCGTGAACAATCAATTAAGACCCACAATGGTTTATCAAATTCTTCCAATGATTGCTAAGCCATAATCTATTTTCTCGGTTGAAATTGTCTCTGTTTGTATATGTGGATAGCCTCATGACCGAATCTCTCATGGTAGCCAGATGGCTTACAAAGAACCTCTGTCTTGGAGAAGAGGTTTTGAGGGCACCCCAATGGGCTCCCCCCTATCTCTGGTTATAGGCAACATTTTCACGGAGAAATTTGAGACTGACGCCTTCCAGACTGCCACTCTGCGCCCAACCTTATGGAAGAGGTACGTAGATGACACTTTTGTCATCTGGCCACATGGCTGGCCTGCTCTAGACCAATTCTTCGACCACATCAATTCCATACACCCAGCCATCAGATTTACCATGGAAGTTGAAAAAGATGGCAAGCTACCTTTTTTGGATGTCCTAATAAAAAAGAGACCTGATGGTTCAATGAGCCACTCTGTCTACAGGAAAGCTACCCATATACGGATGCTTATCTGAAACCAGATTCCCACCACCATCCATCACAGAAGAATTATCTCATCAAGACTCTGCACCATAGAGCCCAATGCATATCCGACCAGGAACACATAGGCAGTGAACTCAAGTACGTACACCAAGCTCTTAAGGCTAATGGTTACTCCGACTATACAATCTGCAAAGCTATCACTCAAACCATGAAGAAGGACCCACCTGAGGAGCCTTTCAAAACCATCACTTTACCCTACATTGCGGGGATCACAAAAAATATCTCCAAAATCTTGAATAAACACAAGATCCAGGTCCGTTTCAACACATTACATAAATCCGTGATCTGGTTCCGTCTGTAAAAGATGTGATTCCGGACATACAGTACCCTGGTGTCTACGAACTAAGTTGCCTCTGTGGTAGGCGTTACATTGGAGAAACCAAATGACATGTCTCGGACCGCATTCGTGAACACAAAGCAGACCTTAAACACGGTAGGACCAACACCAAGGCCGTGGCAGATCACTTATAATTCAGTAGGCTCACATGACATTGACTTCTCCAAGACAGGTTATTTGCAAGCCATCTGGCTACCATGAGAGATTCGTTCATGAGGCTATCCACATATACAAACACAGACAATTTCAACCGAGAAGATGGATTGTGGCTTGGCAATCATTGGAAGGATTTGATACACCATTTCGGGTCTTAATTGATTGTTCACGCTTACGGTGGCTTTCAGACAGCATACATTAATTTTTCGTCTCCCCCCTCCTCTTTTCCGAACATAGATGGACTCGTCCATCTAAACAAACTGTCAAATCGCTATCCGTGGTGCTAACGTTTAAAAATAAATAAATGCAAACCGCCACTTCTTTCAAATGTTCTTGCCGTTTGTTTTCACACCTGATGACGACTGCTTGTGTTGCAGTCGAAACGTCGTGAGACTTTTATTGTTTTATATATAATGTATTGTTTCCCTTCAACGTGACTTTACCGAAAGAACCAAGAATATGAATGTATGCATTGTTCCCGAAACTGATTGTCTTACACCAGAGCTCTCAACACTGGTTTTCTCTCCTGTGTCATGTTGCAGGGAGTTGCCTGGGAGAACTACGTGGATTTTCTCTGCACCCTGTACATGAAGGGCCTGAAGAATCTCATTCAGTACAGTGTCAAACGGGAGGGTCATATTTGGCCATCGGGAGCACAGTAAACGAATCAGTAACTCGCGTACAGCTTTATAAGAGCTCGCAGAAACAGAAAAACAATGATTTATGCAATATCTGGATATCACACTGGAACTCCAAATTTGCAACACTTGCTAATTTTCTAGCTGTGCCAAAATCACTCATTCCCATTGTTATCCTCGTGCCAATGCAGAGTAAATTTTGAATGTGAGTTCATGGTCCCAGAGTTGCTCCCATCAAGACCTTTTCACCGAACCTGAAGTGACGGATCAACGTCGATGTTCCATCTTGACTCTTAAGGGCCAGAGGCATCATTAGTAACATCTGATAAAGGGCAAGGGTCCCACACGGTCTCCGTAGCATCACTCATATTCTCTGAAGTAAACCTCAACTTCTGTTCACTTTGATCTTCCAATCTCCAGAGTAACAACAACTTCTCTACACTGTTCCATGTGATAGGATCGTCAAAAGGTGCACAAAGATGCAAGGAGTCTTCTACAGAGACAAAGTAGGTTCCATGCCTGAGGGGGCCTCGGTCCCTTGGCGTATTAGTGTATTAAAACCCATACGAATTGTTCTGACAGAAGAGAGGTGAGCCTGAATGCAGAACACACTATCCCATTGTGTGTCATGCCAGCTTGAGCTGTTCACAAGCAGCACTGTCATTTAGCCTCGTGGGTTGTTGCGGCAACATTTCTATGTTTGTGTATATACAATATGTAGTAGACAGTATAAGAACACAGTAGTTAAGAGAGCCTTATCACTTAAGTGAGTATTTAATCTGCTTGCATTACCTACAGTATGTTTTCCATTCGCCTGTTGGCAAAACACCACCCATCTCTTTATATCAACCTAATGTCTTTGTTTAAAATTGTATTAAGTAACATGCCTGTTGCCTAAATGATGATCGCATGGTGGTGTAATGATGATGTGGAATATAGCTAGTGCTTAATGTGAGTAAATGAGAAAATGTCTGTAAATATGTACAGGACCTGTATTTTTCTATATATAAAGTATGTGATCTGCTATTAGATTCCTTTTATTTTGCACATGTGAATGATATTATTTAATTGATGTTAATATTTGGTCATTCATGTTTTTCACAGTGCCACTTAACATTCATCAGGCAGTGGGTCCGATTGCTTATTAATATGGGTTGTTGCTCATGTCAGTTGGCAGCCCTGAGTGAGAAAAAAAACATGGTATGAACCAGTACCTGTGGAGAGATAATGAACTCGGCTACTTGCGACTGGGGATTATAATTCACCTTCATTTAATCACGTGCTCCGTTAAAGCAGCAAATGTCACTCGCCGTGTTACATTCTGGTTTTACGACCTTGAAAAGAGTACTCTTGCCGCACTGATGAGCAAAGTGAATGGGACCACGTTTTCTGAGTTCACGTTTGGTTTTAATTAGAATAGAAATAAATATTCCAGAGCAACCTATCTGGTCGTAAGTGGGTGGTATTAAGACAACCCTGCTGAGGTCCTGGGTAACAATTTAATTTCACAATGGATATTACATTTTGTTGAAAAAGTTGTACAAATGTAGGAAATGTCTTGTTAATGGAGTTACAAGCCCAATCCAGACATACCTACTAGCAGCCAGTTGTATGAGCACATTAAACACTTAAATGCCAAACAACATCCGTGCAGGTGGCACTGGCAGAGTGCCTGATTCACATTGGCAAGGGATTAACGCTGCCCATCTAAGCTCTGCGATTCAGTAGCTGTGTTCAAACAATAGTTTCCCTCTTTGTAGACATTCCTGCCAAAGGAATGTGGAATTTACATGACTGGCTCAGGACTGCCCATGGTGTTGAGCGTCACTGAATTGTCACTTGAGCAAAGAGACACCTGGACCTCGAAACACTTAATGACAACTCAAATTTCAATATATTCTGCAAGTTTATTTTATTGGGACCACTTATTAATACTTGCATGTATATGTACTGTGTATGCATGTATGTATGTTTTATGTAAAAACGTGTATCACGAGAACCCGTAGTGGAAAACCATATTGTATAGAACCTCAGCGTTTTCTCGGTAATTGAATCGTGTTCCGTTATGTATTTCCACATCTGACTAAATATTGGACTTCCATATTTACGTTAACCGGCAGCATGTTTAAATACGTTAATTGTGGACCCGTTAGCCATCGACAGCAGCAGTTCCGTGTGTTAATAGGATGTTGATGGTTTACCAGATGGTATTGGTAGATGCACTCTTTCTAAACATACTCTTTGGTTCTATTCGGTAAAGTCACTTTACCGAATAGAACCAAAGAGTATGGATCCTTGCAGTCACGAAAGCTTCAAATCTAGAATCTTTCTAAACAGTTTGTTTAAAAAAATATTGCATTAGACCTCAGCGCTTGGTCAGGTGATGATCCCCACAAGAGAGAAACTGGTTCACGGTTCACATGTTTGCCGATAGGAATGTACATTTTGGAAATAACATCTGATAAACTGGTCGTAATTGTTTGATAGCACGTCTGACTGCTGACGAACTGGGTAATGCAATTCTAGAATGCTAATAGGCCAATGAACATGTTTTATTGTTGTGGATATACGTAATGGAAAATTGTTGGCTGAATACCTATTTTTTATTGCTTTTAGTTCATATTTTATCAATGGCACCTAAACATTTAGTTTTTGATGTACAAAGTTTTAATATCCCTTCCTTAGAGCCGCATATTCTCAAGTGTTAACGTTTAGTTTTTTGTCTGTTAATAAATAACACAGTCGTGTACATGTACAGGACTTTGCCCAGAAGTGCATATGTATATACGTGGTGATCACTTGCTTAATCTACTTAAAGATGTACATACAGGCAGTCCTCGATTTACGAACACCCGCACGTACGAACCAGCTTCCATGAATATATATTTTTTAAACTTTGAATTAAAACACGAACTCTCACTTGCAAATTCAACCGCTGCACTATTTTGTTCAGCTGAGCGATCCTCGAGATGTAAATGAGTCACTCGTACTGGGAGCGAGTGTTTGTGCATTTAAATACAGTAGATTTTTTGTTCTGGCTTACGATCCGTTTAACTTAAGAACGGGCCCCATAAACTAATTGTGTTCGTAAGTCGATGACTGCTCGTGCTGCTTATAACAAAAGTTATTGAATTATTTTGAATGAGTCGTCGCAGGTTTATTGCAGAAGATGGCCCAAAAGTTATGCAACGTTTACTGCTTAAGCCAACGATGTTAACCGACGTGGGACTAATTTTACCAATACAAAATAACGGATATCAGACTTTTCCGAATTAAGAGCGTTATATTTATGGGTAATCGGGTCGTGTTATTTAAACATAAATTATGGTCTCATTTAAGTTGAGACCACCACACTTGCAGGTCTTAAACGGAACTAAAACTGCCTTAAACCCCAGTGGCTGAAGGCATGTTATCGGATAAAATACGCTCCAATTTGACATGCAAGGTGGAAACTGGGAGGTGCGAGACAGATTTATTTAACGGTTCCTTAGCTGGTAGTGTGCCAAGTGACTAGAGAATATCGTATGGCATCTATTTTTAATAATGGAGAGAAACTTGAGTCTGGAAAACACGGACGTGTTTAGCTTTGCATCAATCACTGCAGTTATTAGAAAGCATTCTGCATGCCTCGTTATGCAAGTTTGCAGAGCCACAGTTAACCAGGCTCAACATCATGGGCAGTTAACTTGCAGTGTTGTGTAACGCATCTATATATTGCTGTTATATTTTTTTACCAGAACTCTCAGCCCAATTTGAAGCAATGGTCAGAACATATACGATCACTGCTTTATAAGGCAATTCATGGCCAATGGTGTAAGCATTGTGTTCCATTAGAAAATGTATAGAATATTGAGGGTTTAAAATAGGTGCTTACACGAATGGTAAACAATGCGAGCACCGTAAGCAATGATAATGGGCAATGGCAGGTGAATGTGACCCGTGCAGTAGGCATGTCGGATTTAGACATCACAATCCATGTCGCTCCCGCACACGTCTCCACCGCATCACTTTCGGAGGTGGTGTAAGTCTCCCGCTTCTATTCCGCCACATAGTTGTCCTTCCCCGCACCTCCGATCGGCACGGTGAGCTCCGTACGGTGCGAAAGAAGTTCAACACAGTACACGCATCTTGCCGTGCGAGTCCACAGTTCCAGTCCCAGGTCCTTTGTGATTCCTCACTCCTGTGGAAGAACACGAGTTAAGTTTCATTTATTTGGTATAGCCCTGTGAGCCATTCGGCTCTTGAATCGGGTGCAACCGCAACAAACAAAAAACATGAACAAGAAAACATCTTAAAGTGACTGAGACTACAAACAGAAAATTCAGGAAAAACAGCAAAATATTCCTGAAAAAGCACCATACACCAACGCTGTGCAAAAATCCCAGTGGGATGCAAGTCAAACAACAAGAACAACAGACGTCGGGGGGGGGGGGGGGGAGAACCGAGTCGTTTTGTCACCAGGACGTAGGGTCAGCCACCACCGAGCTAAGCGGGACACCAGGGTCGCGTGTGGCGAAGCTGGCGATCCCTTACAAAGGCGAGTCGCGTTGCCATCCGAGAAAACACGACTTGAGTGCAGTGCCGGATTAAGCAAGTATGGGGCCTGTAGCGTATGTTATAAAGGGGCCCTAAATATAAAAAAAATGTAAAACTTTTTTTGTATAGTTAAGTAATCGTATTTTTTCATTTGCTATACAGCCAGATAATACGACATCGCGTAACCTTAAACACAGTCGTTTGTAAAAGTTGAAGGTGGTATAGTACTATAGTAATAGAGCAAGCGCAGAATCACTGAATCGGAATCAAAGTGCGGGGCCCGTAGCATATGTAGCTACTTTTGCTGCTCGGATAATCCGGCACTGCTTGAGTGTCACCGAGAGAGAGTAATGCAGTGGCTAAGAGTTCTTGAAACGGGCAGGGGGTCAACAGTCATTGCATCTCGCAGTGGTTATCCTTCTGGCTTGGGGGGGGGTGGTACGGGGGGACAGCACCCGCCAAACTGGACAGCTTTATTAATTTATTTTCAGTAATTTACAATATAAATTAATTACATGCACCCGCGATTCCTAATGTGGGACAAAGTGGTGAACCCCCTGCTGAAAATATCGAAGTCAAAACTCCGCCTATGCCTCTTGGATATATTCCCACCTTCGGCTGCCACTATTGTCCAGGGTTAGTGGACCACCACGGGATAGGGGTTGGTGGATCAGAATACTTATTTACACTGGGGGAATCCGATAAGCTACATATCTCTTTTTCAGTAGGGGGTGGGTAAGAACATGACAACAAACGGTACAAACACATATCAGTGCAAAGTACAAGAAATGTAAACGTCACCCAAACACATGCAAATAAAACTAAACCATGCCCATCCTACCAGGCATAGCCCACTGAAGTATTAACTTATTTTTCAAAAGCGACCTGGTCGCAATTGATGGCTCAGAAAAATGGCCCATCATTTGGACATTTATAGCACTAAAACACTCTAAATCTCAATGCATACTTCTAAATGTGGATCATCGGTAGCAACAGCGTCGTCATCGTGACCATGATATTCATCTATCGTTACCATCAATCGACACATTCTTCATTGATCAGTTTAAGAAATTGTCTTAGGGGCCGTCCATGAATGACCTCACGCACCTAGGGGGGGGGTCAGACATTTGTGACGAGGGGGGGGGGGTTGAGAAATGTGACGTAACATCAAAATGCGCAACTTTAAATAAATATAGACAACACGTTCTACATTTTGATTTAAAGCTTTCGTGACTGCAGGGATTCATATTCTTGGTTCTTTCGGTAAAGTCACGTAGAAGGGAAACAATAAAATAATAAAAATATAAAACAATAAAATTCTCACGACATCACTCCCACGTCAGCCAGCCAGCAAAACTTTGCATATCGTATATGTTCAGTGAGGAAAAAAAACATTTGTGTTCCAATGAGCAACATTGATCACGGTATAGGGATTCCACGGCGGTATTATCAGATATTAGTGATGTCGAACGCGCGCGAGACGTGACGTCACGTTGCGTCCTGATGCGGGCCACAAAGCGCATGGCCGTGACGTCACTCCCGCTCCCACTTGGCCGTGACATTGAAGTGACGTCATCAGAGCAGAATCTCGAGCAACATTGAAGCTGGCCGAAACGTCACGGCGAGGGGGGGGGGCGGGGCCGTCAATGCGCGCGTGTCGTCACGCTGGGGGAGGGGCCGTGATGGCGGGACGCGGTGACTCCGCGCTCCGCTGCTGCAGGCAGGAGGAGAAGACCCACCCCGAGTGCACGGGAGCCGCCGTCTCGCTCTGACGCCGCCGCGGCTGCGCTCGCCTTGGCGTTGTGGCGCGGCGCATGGGCGGGGAGCGCGGCTGAGGTGAGAGGCGCGGGGCGAGTGGGGGGGCCCGCGCTGTCCGAGGTCGTGGCTTAACCATCGCCGCGGCGGCGCGGCCGCGCCGTGCCTCTGATTGGCCGAGGCACATCACGTGGCGCCGTGGTGGGACAAACCAAACGGCGACGTTGAGGGGGGGGGGGGGGGGAGTGTGGAGACGAGGGGCGCGCGTTAGGCTCGGCCCACGCGGCTTTGGCCGCTGCTCGGGGTCTTCGCTGATTGGGCGCCACGCTGTGCCAATCGCTGCGCTAAGTGACGTCGTCTCCTGGCGCCAGTCGCGCATCGGCCGCTCCAAAAAACGCGCGCCCGTCGACGCGATTGCTGGTCAATGGAACGTCTGGTCACGTGACAGACACACCTGCCCTGACCACGTGGTGTATGGGGGGGGTCACGTGATTCACGGTGAGGCCGACCTGGCGACACCACGTGCTGCTGCTGCTGCTGACGCTGCAGGGGGAGGAGGGCCTTGGGACATGCGCCGGGACCCCGAGTAGAGGTCACCAGCAAGTAACCCAGGTGAGGTGTGGTGGATGCCCTGGCCAGGTGAGTTGTGATGGGTGGTGCGAGGTTCTGCTGGCCAGGGGAGTGTGTGTGGTGGTGGTGGTGGGTGGATGGGTGGGGGCTGCTGTGATTGTTACCCTTGCCAGGTGCGAATGTGCACAAGGTGAAGGGAGGTTGCGCTGAACGAGATGACTGTTGCAGGGTTGAGCAGCTGTGATATCAATAGAGTGTGTATGTAGGAGAGATTGTGGTCCTGGCTAGGTGTGTGTGTGTAATGGTTCGGCGGAGAGTGGGCCTGGATAGGTTTGTGTGTGTGTGTGTGATGTGTGGGAAGCTGTAAGCCCCAGGCTACTTTGGGCTCGCCTTCCCATCAACCAGAGGCGAGGAGTGGTGGTCGTGGTTACTTATGCCCCCACCGAAGACGAACATCCGTGGAGGGATGCAGGCAAAGTCGATGAGTCAGATGCCTTCTATGACCTGTCACAGGTGCTGGCTTAAGTGGCCCCTCGGGATAGAGTCATCTTGATGGGTGATTTCAATGCCCGAGTTGGTCATGATGCTGGCACCTGGCCTGGAGTGATTGAAGGGCATGGGCCAGAGCAGCTCAATAACGGGCTTGTAATTACCAACACGCTGTTCCGGCATCGGCGCATCCACACAACATCATGGATACATGCTGGGTCCAAGCACGAACATCTGCTGGACTACATAGTGACGGACCAGCGGATGCGAGCCCATGTCCTTGACACCAGGACCTACCGTGGAGCTGATCTGCCCTCTGACCATCGACTAGTCATCTGTAAGATGCGCCTGCCATTCTTCCACTCCTGTGGTGGGTGTACACCCAGGACCCCATTCCAACCTAAAGTGGCCTGGTCTCAGTTATCTGATGAAAGTTGCAAGCGAGAATTTCATCATCGCCTGTGGCTGGGGTTGGCATCGTCCCCCACTCCTCCTGATGTCGAGGGTAAATGGGCGAGGTTTAGGACTGTCACTCATGCAGCTGCATTGGCTGCTTTGGGTACGCGGTCCAGACCTCCCCAGAGACACTGGCTGACAGAGGAGGTATTCAGGATGGTTGAGAAAAAGCGACAGGCCCACTGTCATCGGCTACAGCATCCCACGTCAGAGAATGAGGAGTCTTACCGCAGCATTCGCTCGGAAGTTCGGAGAGCCGTGATGCGCTGCAAGGATGGGTGGTGGTCGCGGGTTGCTGAGGAGATGGAGTCTGCCTCAGTGGCCCGCGATCACAAATCTCTATTTAGCTCCATCAAAAAAGTAACCTGCAGCGCCACACCTATTGCCATCATTAGGGGAAAAAACGGTGATCCAATCGTCGACCCCCAGGAAAAGGTTTGCAGATTTGCTGAGCATTTCTGTGAGGTCCTGGGGGAGGGGAAATCCCTCCGCCAGGAAAACATCGTGGCACAAAGTGGGGATGACCCTGCTGAGGCTGCGGTGCCTCATATATTGGAGGAAGTCACCCCCTGTGAGTGGCTGGTTGAGGTGCCATCTGTTGAGGAAGTACTGAAGGCGATCCGGAGTCTGAGACCAGGAAAGGCACCGGGCAGAGATGATCTCCCAAGCAAAATGCTGAGGGAGGGTGGCGTTTGTACACAGACTGCCCTATATGACATAACAACAGTCTGGACCACTGGACGGGTTCCGCAGGATTGTAAGGATGCCCTGGTGGTCCCCCTCTGCTCACGGGCATCTCACTCCTCAGTGTGCCGGGAAAGTTCCTGGCAACGATTATTCAAAATCGTCTTGGCAGGCACGCTGAGGAAAGGCTTGCGGAGCCCCAATGCGGTTTCAGGAAAGGGCGGTCCTGCACAGATGCCATATTTTCTGTCTGTCTGCTACAGCAGACGTGGAGGGAATTCCAGCAAGACCTACATCTCTGCTTTATTGACCTGGTCAAGGCGTATGATACTATCAGTCGGCCTGGGCTCTGGGTTGTTCTTCGTGCTTTTGGAGTCCCTGACCCTCTGCTTACGATCATTAAGGACCTTCATGATGGTGAGCGGGCACGGGTAAAACTACATTGCTGGGAGTCATATCCATTCCCTGTACACCTTGGGGTACGACAGGGATGTCGTCTGGCTCCCACATTATTTAACATCTATTTTGACCATGTAGTTCGTGAAGCCTTCAATAGCTCTACCGGGGGAATCTCCATTTGGTACAGATATAATGGGAGGCTGATCGATGCCCGGGTGCGGTCAAGGGATGGCTCCCTATTGCTCAACCATGTTATGTATGCCGATGATTTAGTAATAGCTGCTCATTCAGAGGAGGAGTTGGAGACGCTGCTGCTGAGACTGGAGTGTGCCACTAAGAGATGGGGCCTTTCCATCAGCCCCACCAAAACTAAGCACCTGCCTGGGTATTTTGTACCATCGGACACTCCACCCCCACTACTCCCAATTGGTGATGGGACAGTTGTGGAGAGAGTGGAGAGTTTCCCATACCTGGGCAGTGTACTTATGACCGGCTCCAGTTTAACAGCAGAGGTCTCACTCCGAATCAGTCGAGCGGCAATATCTTTTCATCGGTTGCGTAACGCTGTGTGGAAGCTACCTGGTCTGTCGCTCCGCACTAAGCTTCAGGTCTTCTCAGCCACGGTCATTCCCTCCCTTCTCTACGCTTGCGAAACATGGACCCCCCTAATGGAACATATTCACCGGTTAGAAACATTTAGGCTAGCCTGCCTACGATCCATCCTGGGTTTAACCAGGCTGGATTGTGTGAGGAGCTCACAAATCCTTGAAAGATCTGGGCAAGGTCCCATCGGTGAGCTCCGGCAGGCAAAGCTGCGTTGGCTGGGTCATGTAGCCCGCATGCCTAGCCACCGCATGCAGAAACAGCTTTTGTTCGGCCAGATCGAGGGGGCTAAACGGGCGCGGCACGGGCTGGAGAAGAGATGGAGTGATGTGGTACAGGAGGACGTGGAGCTGAGTGGACTTGCCGATGACTGGTACCAGTGGTGTCAAGATCGGCCTCTTTGGAGGAGGCTAGTGAAGGACGCTTCTGGGCAGTTGGAGGCAGTCGCCCTCCAACAACAACGGAGGGCGGTGGGTTGGTCTGAAAACATCAGCAGGAGTTGGCACTTGGCTCTCACCGCATCGTGGCGATGTCTTTACCAGCGGACGCTGTGCGTTGCCTTTCGTTGGCATTCGCCTATGGAATCTGATTGATTGATTGCTTCTGTGGACAGGTGTCTTTTATACAGGTAACAAGCTGAGATTAGGAGCACTCCCTTTAAGAGTGTGCTCCTAATCTCAGCTCGTTACCTGTATAAAAGACACCTGGGAGCCAGAAATCATTCTGATTGAGAGGGGGTCAAATATGTATTTCCCTCATTAAAATGCAAATCAATTTATACTATTTTTGACATGCGTTTTTCCGGATTTTTTTGTTGTTATTCTGTCTCTCACTGTTCAAATAAACCTATATAAGTATAGACTGATCATTTCTTTTTCAGTGGGCAAACGTACAAAATCAGCAGGGGATCAAATACTTTTTTCCCTCAATGTAGATGAACCGGAAGTTTTATAAACAGGAAGTTTGTGAGATAAATATGAAGTTTGATAAATAGGAAGTTTGTGAGATAAACAGGAAGTTTGTGAGATAAATATGAAGTTTGATAAACAGGAAGTTTGTGAGATAAACAGGACGTTTGTGAGATAAATATTAAGTTTGTGAAATAAACACGGAGTTAGATAAACAGGAAGTTTGTGAGATATACAGGCAGAGGACTGCCTGAACACAATGACATTCCCAGGGTTATCTTGCTTTGGATAGAATCCAGTGGTCTCTACAAGGCCTTTTTGCCAAGAGCGCATCGCTGGTGAATGGCGTCAACGCTTTGACAAGGCCCTTTTCTCTACAATGTAGCAGTCTTGTTGACGTCCCCATGCCGTCGGGAGACGTTTATCAAGGCGTTGCCCTCCTCTGCAGATGCGTCTGCTGTGCTTTACCTTTGGCTGAGAGAGAGTTTACGAGCCGCAATTCCGCGTGGTTTTATGCAGCCGCGTCACAGAGTGGCGTACAGATATCTAGCGACACTGCACAGTCATGACAGGTCAATAGATCACGGGGGCGAGGCGGGGAACAAGCGGATATTTCTCAAAGTATGCGAGTGCTGTACTGTACTGAACACCACAGTGTCATGTTCGCTTGTTTCAAGCCATGGGGGGTGGTGCCCATCCCTTGCCTGCGGTCCTTAGTGGTGAAAATTCCACATTCCTGCGGTGAGGAGCAATTTCTCCTTGAAGGAAGACGCAAACCCAGTGAGAATTAGGGTTTTATTTTGTTTCCAGAAACGCACTGAGCCATGGCAGTGCAGCAGCGTGGATCTCCTCCTCCTGCTGCTGCTGGGGGAAGGAATCTGCCCATTCACCTGTCAGACGGCATCCAAGCGGCGCTGCAATTGAGGGCACCCCCCCCCCCCCAGCCAGTACTCACTGCCGTCTCCCAGCAGGCACCAACGCGTTGTGACGTGGCTGTCCTGCCGGCTCCCACACTGCAACCGCGCTGGAAATCGCCCGTCATCTCCCACAAGTCGAGTGTATTTTGTTCTGTTTGGCAATGTGATGAGAAGTGGTTGCAAAACAATTTAGGAATCGCCAGGCTGT